AGTTTACTAAATCTCTCTTTATAACTTATATTAAAAATAAAAAAGAGGCTAAAGACTCTACTACTACCTCTATTAGTACTAGTACTACTAGTACTACTTAGATTTAGAATATAATTTAGCTCTAAAAAGAGTAAAAAAAGCTTATTTAATTTATAATTACTAAGTTAATTATAAATTTAGTATTTTAGAACTAATTAAATATATAAATATATACTAATATTAAATTAGAGTATTAATAATATTTTAAATATTATTATTAAATTCTTATAAATAATTTATAATAAAGTAGCTTTAAATATAAATTATTAATTACTATTATTAATAATTATTATTAAGTATTATAATAGAAATAGAAGTTTAAAAATTTTATAATTAATATTATTAATATTTTCTCTTATTATACTACTTACTTAGTTATTTATTTAGCCTCTACTCTAGCTTCTACTCTAACCTCTATCTTTAAAAAGATTACTAGGAGTCCTATACCCGCGCCTATAGGAACTACTTTAGATACTTCTATTAAATTTACTACTTCTACTCTAGAGGCTACTAGCTCTAATACTTATAGTTTAAAGGCTATAAAAAAATAAATTATTATAAAATACTAGATAGAAAAGGGGGAATAGATATATAAATTATTAAAATAGATAGATAAAAATAATAAAAATTATTTAAACTAGAATATTAATTAATAAGTTATAATATTATAGACCTTATCTATATATTTTTAAATAAATATAGCTATTACCTTATTTAATATAGCTATTATCTAGCTTAATATAGTAGTTATAAATTTGATATTATTATTATATTTAAATTTAGAAGAATAGTAATCTAACAGTGTTCCGAAGCTATATATTTCCGGTATAGTGCTGAGTAATTTACTAATCGTGATCAATCGGGGACTATGCGGGGATTCTATTAGTTTTATTGGTCAATATGTAGACGCTAACTATATTCGATTAGTTATGAACTTAAAGCTTCACTTTGGCTTGGCACCTCCGTAACTTAAATAGCTAACTACACCACCAAACGATACCTAGGTCACGGAAACGGTTTCAACTCCTCCGTACTCCGTACCAAATATAACTATTATTAGAATAAAGGCCATACGGAGTACTCTTCGGCATGCGAGGCTCGCGCCTCTCGGGGTTCTGAGGGAAGAATTTCTGTGGTTTCTCCGTTACTATGCACCTGGTTTTAATTCTTCAGGGGTCTGCATTGAGCTCAATCTTGAGGTCCTGGAAAAGAACACAATTGGCTGGTGGCATGCATAATGCGTTTGTGCTAGACCTCGTATCTGCGTTCCCTTGAATTTTGGAGATGGAGGGTGCTGGGGCTGATCGTTTTGACGGGGGCTCAGGGCCATTCCCAGAATCCCCCTCCACCGGGGGGTACTTCGTCGACAGTATATATTCTCACGGCATCCCATCTACATATACCCCCTTTATACTTGTTCCTATTCACTTCTTTTGATAAGACAGAAGCGGGAGAACTCCATAACAAAATAATTCAATACATATACGAAACACTTCGCTCAATACCTTCAAATATGGATCTCGAGTTCGACGAAAATGGATTTTATATCCTGCTTTCAGATCGTGGGGATAGTTGGCGATTCCACTGGGGTCTCTACCTTGCCAAAACAAAAACATCTGGCATCGTATACCATCTCGTCAATGACACGCCCTCGACTGACTGGCGATTAGAAGTCAAAGAGAGCGGCAATGTGCTTCAGTCCAATAAACTCCTTGGTGCCCTGAAGATCGGAATCATTGAGCCGATGTTGCATGAGATGCTAGGGCAATGCCTCATGGAGATCCCTATCGAGTATTCCACCCGCTTCAAGGAGAACATCACCTGTCGAGTTTGGCTTAAGGAGGCCGTCCATGAGCTCAACGAAAGGGGCCTACTGAATATCCATGAATCTGTCGATTCGATAGAGTTTGAAGCGAATAGCATAGCTTTGTCTAGCAAGGCCACAAAGAAAAAGTCCGTCCAATTATCCATGGGAACTTGTCCGTGATTTGGTCACTCCCCTGTCCCGCGGTACATGGACACGCAGGGGGCTAGTAATCGGTGAGCAGTGTCCTAGTGAAATGAACAGAGGCAAAATGAATACTTTCATAGATGATATCTTCTTACATGGTCCCACGGCTTGCCATTTTATTTGCTTCTTAAATTTTTTTTCTCAATTATCCAGGAGTATCACTGTATTGGAGTGTGATGTCTTTTGGTGGGGGTTGGCTAGCTCGGAACACATGGACATGGAGAATAATTCAAATCTATATTTCCTTCTAATATTGCGCTTTCACAAACTTCTCTCATAAGTCCGGAGCTGTAGTTAAAGAAATCAGTCAGTTTGGAAACGAGAAGAAACCCACCCCCACTGAGCACTACTTCACATTTGGTCCCCAGAGTTAACTGACAAGTTAAGGCTGCCCCTGAACCTTGTTCACTAACTCACTACTGTTTCGCCTCATCCTTCAGCAACAACAACTGCTGCCTGTTGTGCCGCCTAGAACGGGCGTTCGGCGACTTTTAAGCCGCGAGCCCGTCGGTGGCTTGCTTTTTTCTACAGTTGAAGAGATATAAATATTCAGGCGGGGTTTGTTTTTATTTTGCTCCTGGATGTCGACAATTGCACTGGATGAATTGATAGCTCGATAGTTATCGTCGAGTTTCTGCCAGCAGCATGCTCCTAATGGAACCCGTGAGTATGTTGACGACAGCTTTAGTGGCCCTGCTGGGCTACTTCATCGTCCAGACAATTTATCGTCTATATTTCCACCCTTTGAGCAAGTTCCCTGGCCCAAAAATTGCAGCTGCTGGTCGTTTCTACGAGTTTTATTTCGACATAGTCAAGGGCGGCATGTATATATGGGAAATACAGCGCATGCACGAACAGTACGGTGAGCATAAGTTATTCTCTCGGATTATACGGTATTATCTCTTTGTTAACCATCTAATCATTGTTATACAGGCCCTATTGTACGTGTCAACCACCGAGAACTTCATATCAAAGACCCCGACTACTACGCCGAGGTATACAGTTCTCGGAAACAAGAGAAGGACTTCCATGCCGTCTCTGCTTATGGCATGACACATTCTATGATCACGACTCTTGATCATGACCATCATCGTTTCCGCCGGGGCCTTCTAAACTCTTTCTTCTCTAAACGAGCCGTGACCAGCCTCGAGCCTATGGTTCTGGAGAAAGTCAACCGTGCCGCAGAACGCATCGAAGAGGCCTTTAACCAGAACGAACTTGTCCCTTTTGATAAGGTATTTGCAGCAGTGACTGCAGATATTATCTCAAAATATTCATATGGCCGAAGTGTGGACTACTTGGAAAACAAGGACTATCAAAATGACTTCAGAGATTTCGGGAATGTTGCCAGTAACTTATCACATATCTTCACCTTCCTCCCTGGCATGATGGGTGTGGTCAAGATTATACCTGAAGCATGGCTGCAGGCTGTACAACCGCAGGCTGTTGGGGTTTTCAGCATGAGAAATCTAGTGAGAGACCAGTCATTGGCCATGCTAAAAGAAACCCATCGTCCAGGATACAAATCTCCAGAGGGAGTTGATCGGAACATTTTCCATGCCCTATGTGACCCTGCAGTGCCAGATAAGGAGAAGGAGATTGAACGACTGACGGAGGAAGGATTGGGTGTCCTTGCTGCGGGAACAGAAACAACGGCTAGAACGTTGACTGTAGGCACCTACTATCTATACCACAACAAATCAGTTCTGCATAAATTGCGCCAGGAGTTAAAGGAAGTGATGCCAAAACCAGACAGTCCTATCACCTGGGCACAGCTTGAAAAATTGCCCTACCTCGTACGCTTTTACTCTTGTATGATGAATACCATTTGAACATACCACTAACGGGCCGTTTAGAACGGAGTCATCAATGAGTCACTTCGTCTGTCTCATACTTTGATCATGAGGCTCCCGCGGATTGCAAAGGACCAAAGCCTGGCGTATGGAGAATATGTGATCCCCCCAGGCGTAAGTCTTCCAAAAAGATTACCACTGTTACTTACTCCATTGGAAATTGATTGATATAACTGACGTCGTCCTATGCAGACCCCTGTAAGCATGATATCGTACTTCATCCATCTTGATCCAAAGATATTCCCTGATCCACAAAGATTCGACCCTGAGCGCTGGATTCGAGCTACAGAGAAGGGTGAACGGCTGTCCAGATATAATGTCTCATTCACAAAGGGAAACAGAATTTGCCTTGGGATGAAGTGAGTTTTCCCCTCTACCCGCTTGTAAACTGTTATATACCACCCTGTTTTTCTGAATACTGACGTTCTGTTTTCAATTTTATTAGCCTCGCGTATATCGAACTGTACCATATGTTTGCCACCATGGTCCGCAGATTCGATATGGATCTGCATAACACCACGTTTGACAATATCCGAGTCGATAGGGAATTCGGCCCGGGCCTGCCGGAGGGGAAAAACGTCATTGAGGGTTACGCCAAAGTGACCAAAGTTCTGACTGAGTAGTTATAGAGTGTTGGAAGAATTTGATTGACAGGGTCATTTTGAGTATTTAAACTGGATATCATCATTGGTGTTTGTATTATTTGCGAGATAGTAATGGATGCATACCAAAATTGTTGTTTTCGTTATTTAAATTGGTATAATTCACAAGTAAATTGTACAGTCCAAAATTCATAAGCTGAACCCCGGTGTGAGGTGCAATATAGTCAATAAATATAGCGAGGGAATCAAAAAGGGGCGATAGACTCAAAATGGGTATATAGCGTTGAAGCCCTGCTCCTCCCACAGGGCAATAGATGCTTATAAAGGATGCACGCCATTGGGTCATAAATGAAAGCAAATCTTATGGTGGCATAAGAGGAATTATCGTTAAAGGGAAATTTTGTATATATCCTGACCCTCTATTCCGTGGTGAGTTCTTTAACGCGCCGTTCTAACTCAGGGACAGCTCGAAGTTGTAGATCGATATCTTCCTTCTCACTGAAAGCAAAAAAATCATCGTTAGTAAGGAAATCTAATAAGGTTGGGAGCTTATACCAAACTCACTCTTCAAGCTTCAGCCGGCGTTCCCAGTCCAAGCCGGTAAAGATACAGTTTCCCTGGCCGTCAAACTGGAGGATCTTCTTGTGATATTTCCACAGACTCCTCCTGTGTGAAACGGTCATCAAGGTGACACCAAGTTCTTTAGCAGTCTCGTACATGACCTTTTCGATCTCCAGTGTGACCGAGGAAGTACATTCATCTAAAATAGCGTATTTTGGCTTATGGTAGAACAATCGAGCCATAGCAATTCGTTGCTGTAGCCCGCCGGAGAGTACATCTCGCCATTCTTCTTCGGCATCCCAACCACCAGGTCTATCGACGATGGACGAAATCTCCACTATGGATAAGATATCGAAAAGGTCTGAGTCGGTGACCCCCTTTTCATGCATTTCCTTGAGGCCATCGGGATAAATGACCTGCTGCCGAAGGGTTCCGCGTGACAGATATGGGCGCTGTGGTATATAGAAGATATCTTCAAAGGACGGCTTCTTAACTGTACCACCGTATACAGGCCATAATCCACCAAGAATACGGAAAAGAGATGACTTTCCACAACCGTTAGGTCCAACGATGAGCAGGTGCTCTCCAGGGTGGACAGTGAAGGTAAGCTTTTCAACCAAAACATCTCCATTAGGTGAGATGATGGGCACATCCGTGAATTCGATCGAGTCACTTTCAACGATGGTTCCGCGATTTCCAAGAACAGCGGCATTAGCATCCGTTGATACGGAAGAGACAAGCTTCTTCTGGAAACGACCGGCAGTTATGTCATCCATTACCTCCAAGAGAGAAGCCACACGAGAAGTATGTCCGGCAAGCTGGGAAATCTCCTTGTATGAGAACATCACTCTTCCAAAGGCATCGGAGGAGGAGAGCAGTATCCTCCGGTTGGTTACGAAGCTCTCGGTCCGATCTCCCATGGTTGAGGTTATTTGGCTAGGGATTTTGAAGAAGACAGGCACACTGCATAATATCAGACCCAAAGCACCCCAGAAGTATTTGATAACGAAGTCTTCCATGAAGCCATGGTAGAGTCTCCTTCGCAAGATCCGGTTGACATGTTTAATAAGAGTGAAATACCCCTTGTCTAGAGTATCTCTTTCTGATTCATGGCCGTGGTATAGAGCGACCTCTTCGCTATAATCAATTAACCTCGTATGCTGGAAACGGAACTCTCCTTCTAGCTTCGCTTCCTCGGCCACGTATTTACCAAAAGGTGGGGTAAGGGCTCTCATGGCATTAGCGGAGAGCTGCACCAAAAGTGCCATGATAAAAAGACCCTCGCCGCCCACGTTTTTGGAGAGAGAGTAATTGTAAATAGCCATATCAAGAATCGGTTTGGCAAGGTTAGAGTATAACTCCGCCAAGCTGTTGGAGAACCGCGATATATCCACAGTAATAAGCTGGTCTGGGTTCTTGATCCGATCATCCAGCGCGGATAACGCATAAAAGTTCATGTTTGACAAGTATTGATTATGAATGTACTCAGTCAGGCGTTTCCGGTACTGAAGGGCCAGCTGGCATTGGTGGTACGAAAGCTATCACCACAAGCAGGTTAGTAAGGGAACAACCAAGCTCAAGTCTATAAATGCGAATCAAAGTCCACTTCAAACGTAAGATACTTACCATTGAATTGGTAAAGGTAGCCGGTACCGCTACAGTCATCCACCAGGCCAGAGAAAGGAGGAACTCCCTGCCTTTGCCCCTAACCAAGCTGCTGACGAGTTTTCCATCCAGCTCCGCAACATATAAACTTAACAACGTCCTCAAAACAAGGAATATCGAATGGCTTATCAGTAGTCGGAGCTCCTTGCTCTTCCATCCCGGTATCACGATCTTCAACAGCCGCAGTAAATTCCGCAGAAACTCTCGATTCAGGCCAACTCTTTTCCGAGGCAGACCACCGCCATCGCCTCCTGCACCTGTGCTATCTTCCCCATTCAACTTTCGAGTGCCAGCCCTGTTTCCAGCCTGAATCTCAGAGGCAGACCTTTGCTCGGCAATGGCATTGTGTATTCGTTTGGCGAGGGCGAGGAAAAGCGTTAGGTAAACTGCGCGAGATATGCCGGTGCGGTGCTTGACGTATTTCTTGGTGAGAAGAGATACAAGGTCTTTGATTGACCGTTCTAGCCCGTGTCCTGCGGGGTGGGAAAGGACCGCCATGATGGTGGAAGTAGTTGTGGTGATGTTGTTGCCGCAATCTGGGGTATTAACTAGCGGCTTGCCGAAGCAACCGCCTTAGCGAGGAAATACGTTCTATGTGAGCTGGGGATCAAGCATGTATCTGGCATCCTGCTGTCCCTACACATCTAGCTCCACGTATGCTCAACTCCCATCGTCCAAAACTCCCAGGTTGTCTTGTTTTCATCTTCATCTCTTCGTCGTCTTCGGCCTTGTCGAAATCATCGCGGTTGGCAAAGCCGAGGTCACATGACCGGGGTGCGCCGCGCTGGCATGTGATTAACACCGAAAATTCCGCTCAAAAGGTAAGAAGATGGAGAGGACTGAGACCGAGCAAGATGGAAGATAGAAGATAGAAGATGAGACGAGACAAAGAGTCAAGCTCGTTTGTAGATATTACTGTATATAATGAGTACTGCCAGGCTTTCTTTAGACGTATGTCCTTCAATACCACGTTCCGCTCAACCATCTCACAAGAATCAGTCCAGACAGAAAGCAACCACCGTAAACTGGAGGCAGAAAAACAAACTGTTTGAGTTTGGACTGCTGACTGCATAGTCAGGCCTAGCTATCCTATCGGAAGAGCAAGAGGAAAGAGTGAATGCAAGAAAAGATGTCCATAATCCAGTTGTTGCATGCATGTATGCGCCTTTGGGAAAAACCGTCCACGTCCTCGCTAAACCAAAAAACATGTGCGGTAAGATATGGTAAATACATCGAAGGTATAAATGGGAAGTCGTCAATAAGGAATGCTTGCTTGGTAAAGAGTAGAGGAAAGGAGAGGATATATTAAATAGATTCGCTAGAAGGGGATATTGAACGATGAGTAGGAGAATAGTCAAAATTGGTACAGAACGTATAGTTTCGGCAGTGCCAGAGTCAAGATGTATACTTATGTGCTAAAAGACCAAGGAAAAAAGAAGTAACTTTGCAGTTCCGCGTAATCGTCAATGAAGAAGAGCGAATTCAAAATGTAAAATGAATAGGTATTCACGTATCATCCGGATTTCTTAGGCCTGCGTTTATAAGTGCCACGAGATGGCTTTCCTTAAGTTCTGCAAAGGCCTCGGGGTCTTGTTTCTGTAGGGTAAGCAACTCCTCCAGGTTGGAAGCGCCATCATGGAGTATGGGGCGGGATGAGGAGGATGGGTCTTCTCTGTGGACGTTTGTATCGGTGTCCTCGCCTTGAAGAGCACGAAGATGTTCAAGTTTCTCGCGGAGAGCTTGAACTTGCACTGCATCTGGAGGTGACTGGGAGATTGGTTTCTCCGAAGACTCCTGGTCTGCGTCCTTGCTCTTGTCCTTGTCTGAGCGACCGAGTAGCGAATGACTGAAATGGTGGCTGAGACGGTGGACTTTCCCTTCTTCAGAGGTAAGTGCACGGGAGTGGAGGGATGTATTCGAACTAGTCCGGGAGAGACGAACAGCGTATCGATCTACATCCTCGTCTTCACCATCTGCTTCAGCCGTTGTATTGCCGTTGGTGGATGAACCAACCGGTTCAAGGATAGTAGAATCATTAACGTTAGATAGATTAGGAGAACCATCACTTGAGCGGGTTGTGGAGGTCTCATCGGGTATGCGGGTATCCGGGAACTCATCCTCAAAACGTTGAATCATTCGTTGAAGTGTCATGTCAAGAAAGTGGAGTCGGCCTATTTACGGTAGGTCAGTTACAATTCCTTCATTGTTGTCAAATGCAAGCAAAAGAGTAAAATGCATACGGTAGTTTAGATCATTACCTGCCCGGTCCTCGCGGACCAAAGCAGGCCGCAGCCGAAGCCGGATCTTCCTCGCAGAGTTGAGTAGATCTCTTGACATATCACGAGGTTTCTTGGTCACGCGAACATGACTAAGGCGACGATATGGTGTAGAAGTGCCACTAGCGGTTGGAGACTGGTCACCCAAAACATCTTCCACAGCGGTGTAATCGGAATTACCCAGACAGATGCCTAGCGCCTTGACAACTCCAGTACCACCAATGACATAGTCATAGTCTGAAGTAACTTTGGAGTCATCAATTTCCCCGTTTGCATCGTCAGCGTGGCCAACGAGATGTTCCAGGATATCGGGAACAGGAACATCCTTTACAGCCGCCTGGGTATCGGCCGACGAGGATAGCTCCTCCTTCAACTCGCCATATTGGAGGTTGCGTAGGGAATAAGCCACTATCTGAGAAGCAAGGGCCTTGACAACCTCGTTATTCTCGGGAGTCGGAACATCGATATCAACGGCGATAATATTCCGAGATATGCGGGCTGCCGACATAAACGACGCATACAGCGCACAAGCCTCCTCCTGAGCTTCAGGGGTGCTTGCGGACGCCAGCTCCTGGATAGCTGGGTTCTCAAGGATATTGATATGGCAAAGTTTAGGGCAGTCAGGTAAGATCTCAGCGAGAGCAATAGCATGCTCTGAACTAAGGCAGACGTCCGCAAGATGTATTCGTCTTAGCTCCTTCATCTGCGGGAGGTATCTTCGTAGAATCCCCAATGAGTCAGGCTGTGTGATGAATAGGTCTTTGTTGTGCGATAGATCGATAAAGCGGAAGTTCGGTAACAGGGTCAGTCCCTGCATGAGTGAGCAGAGAGTTTTAGGCGTCAAGGAGCAATCCGCTAAGCTTAAGGCACTTAGAGGGAAAGTCTTGTCAAGAGCAGACGAGAAAAGACCAATGTGAGCTTCTAGCTTGTTGCCACCTAGATCGAGACCTTCACATTTACCACCCTGGAAGTAGTTGATGACATATTCGAGTCCCTCCTTGGTGAGGTCGTTATTAGCTAGGCCTAGTCGCCGTAGTCCCATAGATCTGGCTGCATCACTTATTTTCTGCACATCTTCGGTTGATGGAGAGCATTCGCTGAGAACGAGTTCTTCAAGCCGCTCACCTCCAAAGCGTTGTGCGAGGGCATTTGCGAATATGGTACCGATATCGGGTACGGGCTTAGAAGGCCTGCTGATGGGTGACGCTGGACCATTGGTAGGGGGTGTGGGACGGGGTAAGGGTATGCCAGACAAGTCAATACCCTTGAGTGAGCGAGACATGTGTATGAAAAGACTGATATGTCGCCATCCTTCGGGGCCGATTTTCGAGTTCCCTTTTAATGACAATTTTTCTATAGCTCCGTATCGAATTTCCTTTGCTAGCTCAGACCCGACATTCCTGTGCTTCAACTGCCGGGCTTGTCTGGCAGCCTCGATTGTCTTGGTAGCCAGTAGGCCTCCGAGGATGACCCTGATCGCTTCATCAGACAGGCCACAGTCCTGTAATATCAGTTTCCGTACTGGGACAATGGAAAGCCAATCACTGAAGGTAATGATATCGGTCAAGGTCATGGGGAAGCCAGTCAAGTCCAGGACCGCAACAGTACCGGGGGACTCGGCCAAGATTGAAGATGGCGAGGAGATCTGTTCGACCAACTTCTTCAACACGCCTGTCTCTCGAAGCTGGCAGCATCGCCGGTATATTCGTAGAGGATCTGTGGTAGGCTGATCTTGACCGCGCGATGACCGACGGATGGAGTTTGTTTTAGAAGTGCTATTGCTTCCACCTTCGAGGTTGACCTGCAAGGGAATCGAGCCATTTTCCTCGGCTTGTCTTCTCTTCTTCTCCTTCCGCTCCTTGCGTTCCTCTTCCGAGCGCTTTTTCTTCTCCTGCTTCTTCGTTGGCGGTGGCTTGGATTTCTCGTCATCGATTGGATGTGAGTCTGGAGGCTGCACAGCACCATTACTTACAGGGGCATCCGAAGGTGGTGATGACGTCGGCGGAGGTGCATGTCCCGCTGCATGTTTTAGCACAGTGCCTTCTTCGGCCTCCACTGCCTTGGGGTCGGGTTTTTTCTTGGTGCTGCGTTCCTCGTCACCTTCGGACCTCCGTTGAGTCCCTGCGATCTCGACATCCACGCAAAACGCCACACGTCGCAGTTTTGCTTGGTTGAGTTCTGGAATCTTACAACGATCCCGGTCCGCATCAACATTCATCACTCGCCTTGGCCACACCCCGCCATTTGGGGCGTAGTTAGAGGACAGTTTGCCCAGGCTAGCTCCTCCCGATGAAGACAGTTTTCGGAATGCGTTGTGGAAGAACGAGGGGTGGCCGCTCCTTGGAGAGCCGCTTGTGAAGGAGCCGGAACCTTCCCCCGATTTATCAGCATCTTTTGGAGAGTATGCAGCACCGAAGGGATTTATCGAGTCAGATGGTTGTTGTTGCCGGTTGGTTGACGGCGACTCTCTCATGTGGCTCTGAGACGGAGGTGTAGAGCCAGAGGAGAACTTGGAGCTTAGAGTGGAAATCCAAGAGTTTCGCCGAGGTACAGGCTTTGGCGGTGTTGCTCTGGTATTCGCATTTGTGCTGGTGACCGTAGTTTGGGTTGTGCCCGTAAGAGCGATGGCGCTTGTAGTGATGTTTGGGGCAGGCGTATATTCTGGGCCAGTGCCCTGGCCCTGAGCCTGGGCTTGGGTCTGATTTTGATTTTGGCTCGGTGGAGATAGCGACTGTTGTTTTGAGGGTTCGTTCTCTGCGCTTTCAGAGGGTAACGGCAATGGTTTGGATAATGATGATGTTGGCACCGGCTTTGAATCCGAAGTTGACGCTTGTCCATTCAGTCCATTAGTAGTGCTGGCTGTCGCATCGTTTTGAGTAGCAGTGCCGTCGGTCCCAGGTTGCTGCTCATTTAACTTCTGCTGAGAAGACCTTGAGGGCGTATTTTTGGATCGACCGGCAGTATCAGCTATACAGCACTGTCAGAGATGACCTCATATCACATAACTACATCTCACCAAGTCCCGATTAGAAAAAGAGTATAAACATACCCCGCTGCGAATGATGGAGCCAGCTCACATCTACGGCTTCAGCACCGCCTTCCATTGTGTATTGAAGCGAATGTTCGCAACGATGCGTGGAGTGATAAAAGCCCCCAAATCCTTAAAGAGTCGGCCAACTGGTCCGTCTGTTTGCGCTGGAATAAACGGGAGGCGAATATTGTCGAAGTCTACCGAACCGAGTACACGATCGTAGGTCGCCTTTCCAAGGAACAAAAGACGCAGCGACAGAAAAAAGGAGAAAAAAACAAAAAAGGAAAGAAACCTGCCCGGAAAATTGATGGATTGCGCAGTGAAAGGCGGAGATATGTCGCGAAATCGAGCAAGAGACGGGCGAGAAGTCGGTGTCGTGTGTGTATACGGCGGATTTCTCTTACAGCGGTTTCCGGCGGGAATCTTCCAAGGACGGACGAGGGAGGGAATGGCAGGTCATTGTGAATGAAACAAGCCGATTGCAGCGTCCAGAGCCATCAAGCAAGAGATAGCAGTGTGAAGGCTGGAGTGCTGTGCGAGCGTATATATGTGACTGTGCTGCGCTTGTGTCCTCCAGCTGGCGGCGAGAAATGAGTGGGAAAAAAGTGTACCCCGTAGCAGGGCTGGTTTTATGTATCTCGCTTTCTTCCCGCAGAACCCAGAACGACGGCCAGGATTACAAAGCGGCTGATGCAAAAGTTTCTTCTTCTGCTGGCATGGCAGTTAGCCTAAGTTTAATCGCTTTCGCTTGTGCCGGTGGGAGACGGGTCTTGTCCGCTCCGGGCTGCATCTCCTTGCTTTTTCCCTCCACAGGATGAGATGGATGTGTCTCTTCTTCTCGGCTGGTGGACGGAGTATTGTGGCCAGCAGCAACGAGTGAGTGACCTGGCCTGGCGTTCGTTTGCTGTGGGGGAAATGAGAGGCCGGATGGCGATGGCGGGCGGAGAGCCGGGGAGGCTATAGCAGCATCTTCCCTGTCCTTAATTGCGCCGGCTCGAGCTGATGTGTTCGGGTTCGTGGCTTGCTGGTCGTCTTCTGCCTTTGCCTGCTGGTTTGTGACGATGAAGTCGCGAAGTCGACGTTGCGAGGATGTCGTCAAAGTATCCACTTTGGGAAAAGTACGGAGATCGCGTGACTTGCCGGTTGCGGCGGCGAGGAAGAACAATTATATAAAAGTAAACAGTAGAAGTGAAGTAGAAGAAGGTGAAGGAGAAGAAGAAGAGTCTACGTGAGATACAGTCTTATTCCATGGCTGGTCATAGTAAAGAAGATCATGTCATTATTCCCATTCCGCCGGCCAGGTCATAAGAAGTAGAGCAAAACACCGTAAAAAAAAAAAGATGAAAAAGGATTAAAATACACTCAACACCAGATGCATTTTCCCATTTGTATTTTGTTTTGGTTTCTAACACACGATGGTCAGGGTGAAAGGGTGAAGAGTGGTGAAAGAAAGAGGAAGACGTCTATGCAAGCTCGCGGATCTTTGCCTCGACGCGGGCTCTCTTCTCCTCTCGGGTGAGCTTGGGGGTCTTGTACTTCAAGCTCTCGGCCTTCCACTCCTCCTTGCTCTTCTTGGGGCCGGCATCCTCGTCCTTCTTGAAGGGGTCCTCGCGGATGGCGGCGTGGGCGTTGGCGTACATCTCCTCGAGCTCGCCGGCATCGAGGTCGTTCTCGAGGTACTTGCAGAACTGGCCCTGGTAGCGCTCCTCATCATCATCGGCAAGACCCTCCATGTACTCGGCAACGTGACCGCCGAAGATGTACTTGCGCAGAGTCTCGGTGTCGAGCTCCTTGCTCTCAATGTCGTAGCCGGGGAAGCGGCTCTCGGAGTGGGGCACGAAGATACCACCGTCAGAGGCACCCTTCATGGCAGCGAAGACACGGGCACCAGTGGAGGTACGGTGAAGACCGACGTCGAGGACGGCCTTGAAGGGGCGGCGGGTGCCCTCGTCGGTCTCGGCGGCCTCGGTCAGGGTGAACTCACCATCTGGCTCCTCGACACCGGTGAAGTCCTCGTCCAAGCCGAGCTTCTTCAGGGTGCGGCGGGCAAGCAGGAGACCAGTGGCGTAGGCGGCAGACCAGTTGGTAAGGCCGTTCTTGATGCCATAGCGCTTGAGCTCGTGGGAGTAGGCGCAGGCAAGGACCCTGTCACCGGAGATCTCAGCGGTGACGATCTGGGTGATGATGTCGCGGTTGGTGAAGCGGACGACCAGGCGGTACTTGGGCGAGTTGTACTTGTTCTTAGCCTGGGTGATGAGACGCTTGCGGGCGTAGTAGTCGGTCTTGCCCTCGCGACGGCGCTTGAACTTCGTCTGGAAGCGACTGTACAAAGACAATTAGCTTTTCTCCTTCTTCTTCTTCTTCTTATTCTGCTTATCGTCTTGGGCGTCAATGACTTACCTGAAGTATGGGCGGTTCTTGACAAGCTTGGTGAAAGGCTATAAAGAACATCGCGAGTCAGCAATTTGCGCTTCAGACTGGTCATCTCCGAAGCATCTTGCAGGACTCCAGCGGCTCGACGACGAGAAGAGAGTCAAGGACCTCTGAAGCAGACACTTACCATCTTGACGGCTGCTCAACGGCGTTGCTGCTGGTGCTGCTGGTCTTCTGTTGCTGGCGTGGGTTGCAGGAAGTTCGTCGGTCGCTTTTTTTGTGTGCGAAGAAATTTATTTGTGGGGTTTTCTTCGGCAAACTTGCAGCAGCCAAAAAAGCTGGGTTGGCGACGACGAGGGCATCGTATAGCATCAATTGACACACCAGCATCAGATATTGTTATTATTCACGACTAGGATTCAGATCTCGGTTGCTGTTTTGCCGATATGCCCATTCAGATAATCTTGTATCTTTCGGTGGTTGATTGCGGACTATCGAGCTGTCCTTCTAGATACTACACTCCTATAGATCTTGCACCAGCATCTTCTATCAACATATATCAAGAAATAACTGATCATGAGCCCCTATTCTATATCATCGGCTTGCTCTCCAGTAAAGTCAAGCCCGTTCGTCTCTCCAGCTCTTTCACTGCCTCTCTTGTGCGCCCCAAATCGACCTTGATCGTGCCCATCCCAGCCTTCCTCGCCCACTTCAGATTCACCCCGATATCGTCCAAAAATACCACCTCTTCCGCCCGAATATCTCCTCCTTCTATCCCCTTAGCCTTCCTAGCATCATTAATCTCCCGTAGGGCAAGCTCGTAAATTCTCGGGTCCGGTTTGCGCAACCCCGTGTGCGCGCTGGAGATGAAAAAGTCGAAGAATCGCTTCACTTGCTCGCCCGCATGGTCAGACGTCTTGTCAAGCTTGCTTGTCTCATCGGGTATGATAGTGGTATTTGATAAAGCACCCATAATGAACAGCCCGGAGTCCTTTAATTTCTGTAGTGCGGGAAACATGTATGGATCGGGGCTTTGGGCAACTCGCATCATCTCCCAGTACAGATACTCTGCATCTACACTCGGCATATCAGGAATCTTCTTGTCATTCTCCCCGGTAGGCCAAGTAGATGACTGCTCGAGGAACTTCTTCCATAGGTGAAGATGGCGGAAGTCACTGTTGAACGACTTGAACCAGGCCGCGTCCAGAGGAACTTCGCCTCGCTCCAGTCGGTGCCATGCCCCGTCAGGCGAGGTATGCTGTATACTGTAATTGATCCATCCAATAGGTATCTTGTTGGCCTTCTCGTAGTCCAAAATTGCCTGGAACGGGGATATAACCTGCAGTCTCTCTGGTTAGCTTTTGAGCCCTTTTGCACCAGGAGTAGGATAGCCTAAAGCCATACGCAAACGCCGCCAACGTCAAAGAGAAGGGCTCTCGGTCGTTTCTCCATCGTGTTTGGCATCAAAGTGTCACCGGCCAGCGGCTCACTCCGTTTCTTTTATAGCGAGGGCATATGTATCTTCTTTGAGAGTGAATAGCCGGAGAAAGCTGGTAGAAATGGACGAAGCTCAGTTATGCCGAGGTTGATGATGTGTGGCGCTTTTGCGTATCAACGCCAGTCTACGAAGACATCTACCACCTACGAATGCATCTACGAATACGAACAAAGATCATTAGTTCTGAAGCCAATGCAGAAAGCCATCAATTCTCCTCCTCTTCGCCATGATAAATATCAATGCATAAACAATCATTAGGAGGTTGGGAATAAGAAATTAGATTCATCATCAGAGCTCCCTCCAGGAAACCTAACGCCATGCCCGGGAAAAAAGGATTTCTCTATCGTGACCCCATGGGTATCTTCATAGCGCCCCTAACGCCTCCGGCCAAACTGCCGGGTAACAAAGGAAAAAACGAAAAGGAAGAGGGAAGAACCCACACCCGGACGGAGGGGGAGAGCAATTCGAGCTCCCAGGCTACTCGACGCCTGGGGGAGCATCCTTAAGGATCTCCCATCCCCACTCCTCCTCTGGCTTCTCTGGGTCCATGCCCAGGGCGTTGCGGTAGGCACGCACTTCATTCTGCAGCCCAGCCACGATGCGAAGAGGTAGCTCTTCCTCCTCGCACCGCAGACGGTAGGCGGTTCGGATCATCTCGGCGCACTTCATGGTCTGCGCGTGCCAGTAGTCACGGTCCAGGCGGGATGCCAGGTGCGCATCTCGTTCGGCTTGCAGGAGGTCATTGTAGCGGCGTTTCTGGGAGAGAAAATGGCCTTCGTTATTGCAGCAATAATTGCGGATCTGCTCGACCATAGTACCAACCGCGTTCTCGTATTCGGCGATCAACTTCATGTTCTCAACCTGCTCATGACGGAGTGTCTCAACGCGGCGTTTTTCTCTGGCTAGGGCACGCTCAAGTTCGGCAATGCGTGTGGCTATTCAACGTGTTAGTTGCTGTACTGCACTTGTTAACAACGTAATATATAGCTCATACCAGAGATTTCCCCATTGACTTCTTGCAAGTTTGGTGTGGTTCCTTCAGCTGCAGCACGACGCTATATAATTTCAAGTTAGCATCTATTTTGTTGTACAAGAAGGGGAGAAGATGACATACAGCAATATCTTCAGCACTCTTAATAATGCCACTGGTCAAGTCACGGTTGTTTTTCAGGACCTCGCTCAGTTCATTCACCATAGCATAGAGGTGGTTAAGATCCATCTGGTGTCCAGCGTTCATTGGGAAAGAGGCGTTCATCGCTGGCATTGCTGGAGTACCATTCATCATGGCGGGGCTGGGGGGAGCAGAGTTGCTATGACGAGGAGCAGACATGCCTGGAGAGTTACCAGACGCGTTCGCGGTGTTGCTCGAGTCAAAGAGGTTGGTGAACAAGCCTGAAGTAGACGCTCCACTGGCGGAGCTAGACGAAGCAGCGGCAGAGGAAGTGTTGTTGGCGTTCGTATTATTAGCTATGCTTGGGCTGCCTTGGTTCACAGACATGCTGAAAGCTGCAATAGCAGCGTTGATAGCAGAAAAATCCTCTTCCTCTTCCTTGGGCTCAGGACGGGGGATAGCAGGCTGCTCTGAGCGTGGGATACCGAGTATCTTCTCGCGGAAGCTGATCAGGTCTTCGTTGGTAACTGAGGTCCTGTTCCTGCGATGACGGCTCGCGCGGCGTTGGCGGATGAGGGCGGGCGAGATAGGCGTGTCAGACTCAGATCCTAAACGATTGACAAGTCGGGTTTCGAGTCAGATATCGCGTTCAGGATGCAGCTGCAGCTGAAGCTGAGGATGTTTTTGTTTTCTTCTTCTTCTTCCAATCTTTTCTTACCTGCATCTTCATCAAAGGGTGAGCGAAGGTTCCGGGACATGATTTCTTCCGTTCCGAAAAGTGACAATGACAGTCACGTGAATATCTAGATCAGAGAGGAAGAGCAGTAAAGGGAGGAAGATAAGGGTGAAGATGTAAACTAAAAGCAGATAAAGTCAGTTTGTAGCGCTGCTGCTGGAGTAGGTGGTTGTAGATGTTGCAGTTATTTTTGGTTTGTTGAAGTGGGAAGTTGTTTATTTGTGGGAGTTCACTTTTCTACTTCTTCTATAGTGAAGCAACAAACGACTAAGCGGTCATCTTAATCACAAATCAACAAGATAGATCAGGTAGATGCATGGGAGAAAGGCAACTCTTTATGTTAGGTAGTTATAGATGTGTCTGGCTGACTCTATTGTACATATATCATTCAATACCCGGCTATAAAGAGGGCTGGACAGGAAACATCCCCTGATACAATGGCTGGATCTATTCATGAACTCAGGCTATAGCCATTAAACCATGCTCTCTCTGCTGTATTTGAAATTTATTCCCTCCGATTGACTTCGTGGAGGTAGAGGTGGTGATGGTATTTACCATCTATATAGTAAACTGCGGCTCGATTGCTGTTTTCAGATGGGTGCGAGGGTATGTGTGGTACGTTTTCTGTTCCACTTCACTACCTACTGCCAGGCCTTTTAGCCCTGGAGTCAGGTTTGTCTTCTCAAGGTTGTCGCCTTCTCCACGAAATCAGATATAAAGAACAAGTATTAGCTCAAGTCATATCAAGCAGTCTGGCTAGCTTGTCGTCTGTGTCCATAATAGCTTCTTCTTCTTCTTTTTTCTCGGAGTTTTGAGTGTCGCTCTGAATTTTCCCAACTTTGCTTGCGACCTTGGCCAGCAACATCCTCATACGGTCTAGCTCTGCCCCGAGTTCGCCATCTCTTGTAGCAAGATTAGGCTGGATGGTATTCAAGGGATCTTCAAACGGTTCCAACAAGCTCTTCAAGTGCTTGTACTGGAGTAGCTTATCCTCCCTTTTCTTTCGTTCAGCGTCAAGTTTGACAAGTCTCTCTCGAAGAAGCTTATATCTTTTCACCTGCGTAAGCATCATCCGTTGCAGGCATAAACGTATATTGCGGGTCAAGTAGATCCCCTCACCGAGATTTGTCCTCCTCATCTACCCCGTCTTCAAGCCACTCATCCGGTAATTTGGCGATATTCCTTTGTTAAGAATCAGCCCACACGTACATTTTCACAATGTCCAATCTTCGGCATACCTGGCATTCGTCAGATCAGCTCCCTTGTCAATGTCAGGCTGTCGGGAACCCTCTTGGCCAAACTCCGGGCTGATAGAATTCCAGTAAAGCCGCTCAATCTGCTGGGAGACATGATGTATTGCCTGTGTCGAGAAGACGGCACGGTTATGCTGTTTCAAAAGTGTGTTGACTGCATTTTTATCCTGTCAACAAAGGGCTCACAGACATGTATGGAAGGCAAAGAAGCGCGAGCTGACAAGCAAGTGAGAGGGTATATATAACAGCAGCTTATTTACATTTTTGTAATGCCTCACTGATGGCCTTCTCGCCGATGTCGTCCTCGGCGGCAGGACCGTATTCGCGCCAGTCAGGGGACGGGCTGAGCGGCGCCGACAGCACGCGAATTTGGTCACGAAGAAAACCGAGCTTGGCTTCTGAGATGGTCCTTGTTGAGCTCATATCTCAATGGAATCCTTTCAAATAAATGATCTCTTTTCTCTCTATTTTGTAGAAGGGCTACGACGTAGCTAATATGGTCGCTGTCTCGCCAATAACCGAAAAACGCGCGCTAAAAACCCGGCCAGCTGACAAATCAGGCACCTCTTCCCACACTCAAGGAACTTGGGCAAACCCCTTTTACTCTCAAAGCCAGACATCAGATTACGGATTGTTTTATCATTTAATTTACTTTCTAAATTCCATTCTATTTAGCGACTTTCTTCAAAAGTTAATATCTATTCGCTTATGGGTATCAAATATAACTAGTTAACTAGTTATAGCGAAGATTTGATGGACTGTTGTTGTGAGTGAGGATATATCTTCTGGGGAAACCATGCGCAAAGGAGTTATCACTTAAACTTGCAAGCCCTTCCCCGCTGTATCAGCATGTGGGTAATCAAATAATGCACAAGACCGGCCCAAGCCCTTTTTGCCAGCACTTATGCCGAAACCTTCTGTGTCTTTGGATGTCCTGCAAAAATTTCGGGAATAGGGTTGCCTTATAGAACACTTCGGCTGAAATCTGTGCTCTCAACACGAACATGGGGATTCAGTGGTGGAAAGAGTGTTAACAGGAAGAAATAGGACTTGGATTTTTTCTGCTCAACATGCAATCTACCACCAGAATCAATGTTCCCCGGATACTACTTGGCGTGCGCTTCCAAGGAATTACAGTGGGTGGTTGAATTATTTTGCTGAATCTGCTTATCATGGTTAGTTACCCAAGCATCCTTGTTTTTGTAAAGTTCGATTCCTCGGTCACTTTCGCGCGGGATGTGATGTTTTGGGACGGAATAAATCAATATTATAGAATAGAAATGGAAAATGTGGTTAGGAAGAGGAGGTAAGGAGGATATTGTAAGATAATCCATTATTGACCAACATCCAACGTCGAGCATCACTGCCATTGAATAACTAACTGACTTAGAGAAAAACGATTTAAGACCAATTCTCAACCACCGCAAAAGAAGAATCAAACTAAACACTGGCTGTATCGTGGCATCTATAGGCTGCTTGAGGAGCCATACAAATAGTTAACGGGCATGGGGGAAGCAAGTTGACTACTTAGATAGTTAATAGGTAACCATCCTCCTGCTCAACTCGCCAACCAACTGGTCAAAATACCCTCGGCACAACTTAACCGGCTGCGAAATCACAGTGCCTTTCAAAGGCCACCTGATCATTATGCGAGAGCCGAGGAAGTGGCGGTCCCGGCTGAAAGTTGAATCGCGCTGGCCTGAGTGGCTTGGTAAAGTCTCTTTGCCAAATAGGGTCTTCCTTCGCAATATATACGTTTGTTCTCCTTGCGTTATTGTTATAGACACTTTCCACCACAAGTTTGCTGCGAGGACCGACGGTAGGGCCGCCTGATGTATACTGCGAGAAATGCACATTTGCTTCCTGGACGCCTAGGGTGACAAGATAGTTTTTGATGCAGTTAAGCCCAATGTCGATTCTGCCTCCTGTAAAGGAAGCCTTTCCTCTGGAATAGTAGATTATTGCGTGAGTCTCTCTGCCAAAGTCAAACACTAAGCCCCCGTGCTTTACAAACGTCGTAAGATACTCCCCGACCTGTGGTATCGATTCCAAGGTGTATATGTTGTTTCCTTTGCCTTCTTGAGCAATATGGCCGAGAACCATTCCTAATTCATCGACAACGACTATGGCTGTGCAACCATATAACGAAGTTGCCCGAAGCCTTGCCGTCACACCGGGGTCAGTTTCTCTACCCATGACGCTGTTTATCCTGACTGTATCAGCCTCTGGAATCGAGCTCCAGAGCCGCACAAGGGCAGATGTCGACGTTGATGTTGGTGGGCTAGTGCTCGTTGTTTTGCTCAGGGCAGGTCGTGATGTGGAAGTGGGAGTAGGGCGTGTCGGGGGTGGAGAGTTTTGTTTCCCCTTATTTCCTCCGTTCTTGTTGGTCGATTTGCCCTTGGAATGACTGTTACCTCGGATCTCCAGATGTCCTAAGGTACCAATGCCATTACTATAAAAACAACATGAGATTATGTATTTAATTCAGTATCCCGTATGGAGCTAAGAAGACAACATACCTCTCCACTGGCGTGGCTATCACCTGACATATCAAAAGGAAAAGCCCAGTTAAGAGCACGAACCATCGTAACGCTGTTTGGTTTGCCATTTGTACTTAAGGGTCTCTGATAACGTATAGTTGCAAGGATCTCATATATGAAGGACAATATGGGAGAAGAGGATGGCTATGAGTGCTTGGGTTTCTAATGATTTTTGTCCATCATTGCAATCTCTTTATATATTGTAGGTACCTGGACATCATAGTCTGTTACATGATCTATTAATTTCCAAGTATGGATGAAATGCAATGCAGGATATAAAAAATAAAAAGATGTCGGGTGATGACACATTGATTTCTCCTACGTGCAGTATGATAAATCTGCATTACAAAGTAGACTCCTGAGGATAATTGGAACTCCCTGCCGCTTAGCAGTTAGTTATAGTAGTATATTGATAGCCAGTGAAGCTGTTGCTAATGGCTAAAATTATTAAGGACTTTACAGCATGACTGTAACTACACCATTAATAACCATGTAGCATTCCTTTCTGCATGCTGATTATATAGACATTGCTTAGAGAGCCAGTAACTGGTTAGTTAGGAGGTATGAGTTATTAAATTGGTTAGCCAATCAGACTTCAAGATCAGTTAATTAACTAGTTAGTTACCTGTTAAGAGTTGGGTTACACTTTCGGGCCGACCCACATGGGGACCGTTGGAGGATGGATGACGTAATCCAGCTTCCAGCCTCCAACATCCAACATCAAATGTCCAACGCCCAACACTAAGTACCACATACCATTGGATAGCGAGCGTAAGGATGGAGAGTCTACATAGTGGCGAGGTCATCCTACAACTGCTGTTTAACAAAGCATGAGCTCTTTACTCCCCGTGTTGGCAGGCATATCCCGGCTCTAGCCACGCGGCGGCTGTTGCAGCCTTGCTGGCCGCTTTTCAGTGATAAAGCGCAGAAACGACCAAAATCTGCTGTTCATACTCAAATATTCTCTCTTCCAAACATAACCAACTCCTTTCTTATAGCTACTGCTGCCCAGTTACCCCGCCCTTTTGGAAGGACATGGAGTTGACCAAATTTAAAAGGCTGATCCGGAAATTCAGGTCCCTTACCCTTCGGTCATCATATCACCCGCGACCAGAAGATGAGCCCACTAAAAAGGGACCGGCTGAAAGCTGTCAGTATAGTGGCTTTTCAACTCTACCAGCAGAACTGCTTGAAAATATTGTTTCGTTTCTGGAACCTGAGGATCTGCTTTCCCTTCGGCTTACGTGCAATACCTGCTATGAGCAGACACAGCTCTACTTTGCTGCACTCCTTACCGAAATGAAGCTGGGTTTTTCGGAAAAAAGCCTGAGTAAGCTCGAGGCTATATCTCAAGACTCACGATTCAATCGTCGTATCCAGTCACTTCGGATGTCACCTGATCGTAGTTCAGGGGTTCTGGGCGGTGGCATCTCATGGGAACGAGACCTCGAAGGCTATCTTGCGATCCCTCAGCCTGCAGTTCAAAGGATACGCGATATTTTATTATCTCTCGTAAGCCTTCAGTCACTTGAACTCACCAATTACACCGAGCAATACTCGACCGAAGACCGAATAGAACCCTGTGAAGCCATTAGAATTCTCACCTATATCATTGCCGAGACTGGTCTACCACTTAATTCCCTTGCCATTGTCTACAGGTCGAGCCCTGTGATGGATGACAGCTATATGGGCATTGAGGATCTTGAGAAACCAGGGTTCCTTTCCTCGATGTCCCATATTCAAAGCCTCTCGCTCGAATGCGATAAACAAGCTGTCAATCTGGACTGGTTAGGTGAAATAATCCAAGCTGCCACCAGTTTAAAGAGTTTGAAGTTCGTGTCATATTCAGGATCAGAACAAGGTCTTGATAATCGGGTTTGGGATTCTATTGATCGATGTGCTCCTCTGGAAAAAATTATCCTGCAGAATGCAGGTTGGCCGGCACCGGAACCTTGCATTCAATTTCTTCGACAATATCGTTCAACCTTGCGGACTCTTTGTCTTCAGTCTAGTTATTTGGAGACACCTGGATGGTCGGCGGTCCTTGCGGAGCTCAGGGATAATTTCCCCGTCCTGACCAATTTCAAAGTCTTCCTGCTAAGGCAGCCTCCTGGTGACTACAGGTATAGTGTTGATTTTTATAACATCCCCGAGGTACCTGGCAGTGCATGTGTGGAGTTAACTTCATTTACCGATATTATCGTGGACCAGCCGGCCCCCAGAAAATATGGAACTGAGCTTTTATACTGTTATAAGCGCCCCCGTCATGGCCCCATAGTGGTGGGTGTGAAATACAGCGGACCCGATATGAAATTGGTTTTGCAAGAGATGATAAATTATGTCAGGGTTACTCCACTTTTTACACCCAGGGTCACACGCCCATAATGCGTCGGGTCCGACTACCATCATCAAGGACATACAACAAATCTTGCATTGGCAGTCTCATGTTATTATATCATTTTATGAAGTATATAGATAAATGTATTTAGTTAAATCAATAAATCAACAAAGTAGCTTTTATCCAATAGCAGTTTGAATTGTCAGATGTTTCGTGCATTACTAGCTTTATTTTATAGACAACATAATAGCCTTCTTCAACCAGCAACATGAAGTAAGTCCAACTATCTTGAAATGAATGTGTTCAAGCAGCTGCCAAAGGTTAGTACCATACCGGCTGTTACCCCAGCGGAGCTACCGACTAGTATATAAGATGACTGCGCCCTGGACCGGATCATCGACTCGGGCTAGAATGTGGATTTTGCGACGATGAGAGAGCTGGAGGATGAAACGAAGAGGCTGTCTCTTGTTCTCTTTGCCGAGTGAAGACGGCAGATGAAGGGTCAAAAGTTGGTCTTCTGCTGCTTTCTGTGTATCTTCTGAAGCCTTCTCCTCTCTTCAATGGGTATCCATTAGCTACCTAATGGTGTTTATGTCAGCTATGTTATTCAGAATCTCCTGGTGTAGTTATCGCTCCGCCCGTAGCTAAACAGCTGGAGGACGAACAGTGTCGGCCGGAGATAGGTTGAGTGAGCCTCGCATAGACGGATGAATAATGGAAGCCAGACAGGAGCATCCCACGGAGTTAAGCACTACGGCGCGCGCGATTAGGTAGTTAAATGTATTTATAATGCTGTTTCGGCTGAGGTTTGGGATGCCGGGCGTGCTATTGGCCGCGGGTGGAGACGAAGCGGATCAAGTGGTCGACTTTTCGGTGGCCATCGATGGAGACGATACGGAGTACGAAGTGAGAAAGGCGAGAGGCCGCCGGATAGCAAGGCATGAAGGGCGTGCGATGGTTCCACGGCGGAGCAAGCAGGACAGGCTGCCTTTTTTTTTGTGCGTAGAATTACTCATAAAGGCGTTGGATGCGAGATTTCTCGCCCGGGAGTAATTGTGTATATATAAGACTGCGGGCTTTTCCTATGTTTGCTCGCTTGCTTTTACGTTTCCTTTTTTTTTCTCCTTTCGCTTGACGGATTCTACTGCGTGGGACGAAGAGTGGACTGTTCATGTTTTGACTTCATTATGCGTGTCGGATATTCTTATGATTGCTTGCGTGAGTGTACATGATGTATATCGTGAGGGTAGGTAGGAAGATAGGTAGGAGTGAGAAGGGGGTATATTGAAGCATGCTAACTCGAAGCTTCACAGGGATCAGATCAGATGCATGAGAAGCGGGGATGGAAGGGAAGAGGTATCAAATACAAAGACGCAAAGGACACAATCTAGGGTCCGTCTGAAGGAAAAAAAAAAAAGAAGAAGAAGAAAGAGAGAAAGGAGAAGAGACTATGCAATCCAGAACCATATCTTCTCGAAGATGTTTCGGGGGATCTGCTCTGGCCACTCGACGGCGTCCATGGCGGCCTTTCCGGTGAAGATGTCGGCTTCGGCGGAAGGGATCCAGCGGGTGCGCTTGAAGACCTTCCAGAAGATGAGGAGGGCGAAGTAGAGGGCGATGCCGATGTAGGCGGTGAAGAAGGACTGGAAGCGGAAGGGCTTGAAGGTGTCGAAGCCGTTGAAGAAGATGATGATCGAGAAGAAGATGAGGGCGACCCATGCGAGGTAGGGCTGGAAGGGGGACTTGAGGAGGAGGGTGTTGCGGTCGACGCCCTGGGCCTTGAGCGCGGCGTGGAAGCGGATGTAGGCGACCAGCACGCTGACCCAGTTGAAGAGCGAGGCGACGGTGGTCAGGTTCTGGAACCAGATGAAGACCTGGGCCGAGCCGGTGGTGGCAGCCATGAAGGTCAGGAGGGAGATGGACGCAGTGACGCCGACGGCATAGATTGGCACGCCCCTGGAGGTACTGTCAGTTAAATACAGAACACGCACGAGGAAGAGATATGAGACTTACTGCTTGGTGCAGTGGAGGAGGAAGCGAGGCGCCTGGCGGTTCTGGGCGAGACCATAGAGATATCTGCTGCCGGTATACAAGAAGGCGTTTCCAGACGAAGTGGCCGAGGTGAGGATGACGGCGTTGATGATGGATGGCAGGACGGGGATGGAGGCACGGCGGATGGCAATGACCCAGGGGGAGGCAGCCGCACCGGGCTCGTTGTTCTTCTGCGCCGTGAGCAGGTTCTTGTCGTTGTACGGCACCAGCATGCCCAGGAAGAGCGCACCGAGGACGTAGAAGAAGAGGATACGCCAGAAGACTCGCTTGACGGCCTTGGGGATATTCTTGCGCGGGTTCTCTGCCTCACCGGCAGCGCAGGCGACGGCCTCGACACCACCGAACGAAAAGGCAGCGTTGACGAGCGTCGAGAAGAAGCCCAGGAAGCGTCCCTTGTCGCCCGTGCCGAAGTACTGGTTCATGGCTCCGGGGTTCTTCCAGTACCTGAAGCCGATGCGGTCACCGGTAGGGCTGCCGCCGAGGTCGATGATGAGGGCGAGCAGCAGCAGGCCGACGATGGTAATGATCTTGATACTGGCGAAGATGAACTCAGCCTCGCCGTAGACCGAGACGGCCCAGACGTTGAGGAAGACGATGATGGCGATGACCAGGCCGATCCATGCAGCGACGTTGACGTCCTGCGCGCCGGGCCAGTACTGGATGATGACAGCGGCGGCTGAGATCTCGACACAGAGTGTGATGGAGCATTGATACCACAGCTGCTCTCCATTAGCGACTCCATTATTTACCATTGAGAGTAATGAGAGAGGCAGGAGAGAGACTTACATTCCATCCGACGGCGAAACCGACAGAGGCGTCAACGTATCTGGCGCAGAACTGGGGGATGGCACCGGGCAGCGGCAGCCAGGTAGCCATCTCGCCGAGAGACATCATCTACAAACCGTTTAGAATCTGCCATTCTACAGACGAATTGAACGAGTCAGGCTTACCATGGCGAAGATCGCGAGACCGACAAAGGTGTAGCCGATCAACAGCGAGAGCGGGCCACCCTGGGTGAGCGCTCGTCCGATACCCAGGAAGAGACCAGTACCGATAGTTCCACCGAGAGCGATGAACTGGATGTGTCGGGATTTCAGCCTGTCGCCGTCAGTTAGCATTGGTTCTCCTTTGCAAGGACTCAAGTCATGGCATACCCTCTGGCGACATAGCCGTATCGCTCGGCGGCCTCAGCATCGCCGTAGAGGTCAGCGGCCTCTCCGTAGGCAGCGTTCTTGACGTCGACGGCCTTGTGCGGGCCGTTGTCATAGGCCGGAGCCATATCTGTCTTCTCGTCCATGGTCTTTCTTTCTCTATGGATTGGATTGCGACGGGACGGGAGGGGAGGAGACGGACGGGGGAGGGTGGTATCGCGAGATATCCCCGAGACGCAAGAGAAAGGGACGAAGAAAGGGAGAGACAAGGGACGAGGGAGAAGGGAAGAAGAGGAGGAAGAAGAAGAAGAAGTACACGACCTGTCGCAAGGGGAAGAGAAGAAGAGAAGAAGAGAAAAGAAGGAGAAAAGAAAGTCAACCGTCGAGGTGAGACTGATATGTGTTTATATATATCCTCCTGGATGTATATTTATTTATATCACCAGCCTTCGAGCGGCGGCGTGCCAGGTCAAAGTACTGTACATCGGCCTCCTCTTTGCTTCTTCCTTGCTTCATGGCCTGCCTCTCGAGCCATGCCTACTTAGTAGTATGGTCCACCCCCGGACTTGACCCTTCTTTGCTTCTTCTGCTGCTGTTTCTTCGTCTTCTGGGCTGGATCTGTTTCTGGCTCTACCAACCAACCGGCGTTCGACGAACCAGGGATCCAGAGTCAAGCCGACTAGGGGAGGGTGGTTACGCTTCCATCCAATTTTAAACTGCAGGCATCTTTGTGGGGAACCAAAAGTCAAGTGCAACAAGCGTACAGATACATCAAACTCTGTACTGGAAACTCGCCCGGGGGGGGGTTTCGTTGCTTTTTCGCCTGCTGGAGGGCCAGAGGGGGGCAGCCGGCCAACCAGCGGCGGCGGAAGACAGCTGACGGGCGTATATACGAAGCAAGAGGAAGGATGGGCAGCGCAATCAGGACAAGCAAGGAAAAAGAGAGGGAACGAAATAAGCTGACGCCACCGCAAAGCCATCGAAGGGCGAGCTTTGTTCAACCAGGGCGGGCGTTCGACGGCGAAGATCTGTCGGCGGCGGCCAGTGGTGGTAGCTAGTTAGTGGTGATAGGGTTGAGATGACAGTAGCATCGAGGTCGGGTTGCACCGACTAACAGCTACGCCGCATTCTCTCCGGCAGCAGCTTGACCTTGACCAGCTTCGTGCCAGAAAGAAGCCCAAGGACAAAGACCCAAGGACCAAGGACCGACCCAAGATGCGCCAAGGTCATGTATATATATGTAGGTGGATGGAGATGGGCCCTTTTTCCACCCATCCAGACACCCCAGGACAGGCAGACAGACAGACCAAGCAGACAAGCATCGAGCAGGCATCCCGCGACTTGTCCAACCAACCAACCAACCGCCCGTCAGTCAGTCAGTCAGTCCACCTCCTCCGCCGCCAGTCGAAGCGAGAAAAAGAGGGTGTCGTCAAGCGAGCCTCTTCCGCCCTGGCAGGGCTGCTCCACCACTTGGAATACCCGCCGTCCTCTAACCGTCGCTCGAAGCAAGTCCTTACTCTGTCACGCCTGAACCAAAGAAGAAAACGACCGCCAGGGGATGCACATAATCTCCCGTCCTCAAAGTTCCAGCTAGGGAGGAGGGCCAAAAAGCAAGACAGCCAACCGACCAGGCGGATATCCAGGTTCATTTCTCCTACCGACGCCCCTTGTCCTTGGGGCTTGCTGGCCGGGGAAGATGGATATCAGCGGGTAACTAACAAGCAGCCTAGCATTGAAAGTACGGATGCTGAGTCCTGTATTGTAAGTAGTATGTAGAGGCTCGAGGTTGATGCGCCTCGCCATGCTTGGGATTCTCCTCTCCACGCCTTCCCGCGCATCCATCTATCCATCCATCCATGCATCCATGCATCAAACCGCCTTCTGGAAGGGTCAAAGTGCCTGTAACCCTCTACGCTGGCCCTCTTGACATGCTCAGTCGTGACGCCGCACCCCGGCCACCCTCGGCCGTCGTCCTATCACTTGCATCCTCCATGGCCGGCGCAAGTTGCCCGAACAGGGAATATTCTGGAAATCCGCAGCTTTCACGAACTCGCCCGCTAGTTAGCTAGCTCGTCCGGGGTTCAAATGAGCGATTTGTTTCCCCCCTTTGCTTCGTGTCCCCGCTGGCTTGCTTGGGCGACAATGGGCTGGATAGCCTTTAGCCTATCGAGCTAGTTACTGTGCTTGCTGGCGAGAGCTAAACCTCCGGCTAGTTATCTGCTAGCTGACGCTCTTCAGGCTAGTGATGTGGCTAAGTAGAAGCATAATCCCACTATCCCACTGTATCAACGGAGATACCCGTTGCCATCACCAGTGGGCGTGCCTCTTTTGCGTGTGTTTGTCTGTCTGTCTGTCTGTCTGGTTTGTCTGGTTTGGCCCGTTGGCTTCTGTGGTCAGTCTGGGGTTACCTCTGCTAGTCTTATCATCTATCATCCTGTAACATGGATCCCCCGGGCCCCTTACCCTTACTCTCAACCCTCACCCTTACCACCCCCATCTCGACTCAACCTCGCCAACCATGCCCTGTATTATGCTTAACAGGCGGTGCTATTTTCTCCCGTAAGTTCGTTCTCTCCGATCTTGGCTTGCTGTCTGGCTTGCTTCTGGAAGGCCTTTTACGTAACTGTTCGCTCCTCCTGCTGTCCCTTCGATGCATAGCCTGGGTAGCGAGGCTCGCTCACTAGTCGACTGTCGTCTTCTCTTCGCCTTCTTCGCTTCTTCCATCGAACCTTGTTGCTATCACCAGGTGGAGCTGCTAGCCGTCTTCCAAGTAAGACTCTTAATGGCCGTCATAATGCAATATCACAGTCACGGCGTAATTTATTTAATAACACTTTTGATACGTCGGAAAGTCACATGTCACACTATTAGGTAAGGCCTTCGTATCCGGTGGAGTTTTGCTGAAGGAGAGAGACGGGCGCGGGGGATGCGCAGGGAGGCAGCAGAAGGTCGGAGAGGCAGAAGTAGTGTTGTGTCGTAGAGAGGAAGAAGTCGAAGCAGATACATATAAGAAGGCCGACGAGATGGAAGCATAGAACACCCTGGAGTCGCTGATTTTGGGTGCAAGATTGTCCATGTCCTTGTCGATGGAGCTGAGATGGAGCTGAGATGCGATCTCGCATCCCCCACAAAACTTCCGTCTTCCTCGCTCCCCCAGACTGTCTCCATCGCCCATCCAGCTCCGTCTCCAGGTTCCAGCAGCAAGTCTCCGGGTCCATCAGCTCCATCCCAACCCTCCCGGCCTTGTCCTCGTCGCGTCGCTCATCCCCCCAACATCTCACTCACACTTAGTTCTAACGACACTCCTTCCCCCTCAAAAGGGATGTCAAAAGGCGTGCAAATCGAAGTCTATTGCTGCTAATAATAACAGTCTCTAGCATCGGCCATCGCGTCGCATGGCATGGCATCGCATGGCATGGCAGGTCGTGGCATCACATACAATAATACCTTTTCTTCTTCTCAACAAGTATAGTTCAACCCAATAATTCGCTTTTCTGGTTCGGCCTTGTTTAGTGTAACGGGCCTTTTTCTTCTTGTCGCCACCACGATTTTCTTTTTGGCTCCCTTCCTCGTCGCCTGGTTCGATGGCCTGCGAGATGACCTGTTAGATGATCTGTTAGCTGACTAGTTAGCGTCTTCGGGTCGGGTCTTTTGCTTGCTTGCTTGCTTGCTTGCGTGCAGTCTGGGAAAAAGGAATAAGACCACACGCTCTTTTTTCGGTTTTTGCCATCGTCGTCGCCATCGCCATCCAAGCCTGGGACTAGACTGGCCGACGACCAACCAACTATCCTTTCTTCTCTATCTCTCTATCTCCCCTCCGTATCTCCAGTTTGTTTCCTTTTCTCCTTTTTTCGCCTCTCGCGATCCAAAGGTTGACCTTCCACTGCACGTGATACCACTCACGTGTCATATGCGGCTCTTTTAGCTTGTTTCAACAAAAGAACAATCAAGGACAAAAATGAACAACTCTGGAACAGGGAGAGGGGGTAAACATTACAATTACAAGGTCTCAGCAGTCAGAGTGGTAGCCAGCGCCGGATATTCCCCAGCAGGCCCATCAGGAAGTGCCACTGCGAGATGAAACGGCTCCTCGTGGCATGTAGATACCTCCACCACAACGGCTGGAAGCGAAACGCCAGTTCTGCTCCCAGTATCCCCTTGCGAACCAGACCCTCGCAAATTCTCGTCTCCTTCGCCCGGTCATTGATAGTCATGGCTTCTGGTTCGTCCTCCTTACGCCCTACGACTGACACAATGTCCTTGGTCTTTCGCTTAAAGTCATACGCCGCCAATGCCATGGTAGGATACACATTATACCAACACCCCCATATCAGCCCGTCAAAGACCTCATGACTGTCCAGCTCAGGCAGTTCCATCTTATCGAATCGCCGAATAAGCTCTGGTCTTTCAAGGTTCTTCTCCTCATGCGGCTCGTGACCATACACCAGGAAATACACCATCGACCCAAGAGCAAACTGCTCCGTCCTAGCAGAGCAGAGCCCAAAAGTGCCCTGCAGCGGACCACCGGATAACCTCGCCGCCCACGGCGCTCCGGTATACTCCAGGTACTGGCCGATGGTGGTCGCACAGCCAAAGTCAGTCAGTTTTAAATTTAGCCTTGCATCTAGAAGATAGTTGCCTGGCCTCAGGTCGTTGTGACAGTAGCCCATCTTTTCCACGTACTCCAGAGCAGAGGTAAGCTGTTGCACCCATCGGGCCACCAGGGCCGGGTCTTCCTATCCCTTCACCCGTAGCAGTCGACCGAAGAGGTGGTCGTTTTCTCGCTCTTGACGCTCATAGTATCGCTTTCCTATTGCCCCGCTCGAGCAGAATGATAGAAATAGATGGTCGGGGAGTATCAGGAAGCATTCAACTATATGTGGGCAACGGTCTTGACGCTCATTGAGTAGCTTGTAAAACGCTATGTCCTTGGTCAACTGGTGCTCTTCTAACGACTCCTTTTCCCGATCGCTCAGGTCGAGGCGGATGGTCTTCACTGCAATCGTTGGGCTGACGTGATAGACATAAGCGGCGGCGCCCCCACCGAGCCAGTTATGCTTGTGTAGGGCATTGGCGTAGTAGAATGCCATTGTGATTCCAGATATATCTTGCTCCCTCGGAATAGGTCGTGAGAAGTCCTCGTTAAGGCATCCAAGGGGTAGTAAACAAGAAGTAAAATTGACTTCAAGATTATATAAGGTTACTTTAAGGTTATCCCCTAGTGGACCCATTATACCCACGTCACGTGTATATCTGTCCAAATAAGCTAATCAGGAGCTCTCAATTCTCTAGCTTAGTCTATCACTCACAATCACGTGATCTTTATTACATAACTAGCTCAAGGTACGTCCCTTAGAGCTTCTTTCCATCTATTCATTCTTTTTGATCTCGACTTTCAAGATATCTAACAAACAGATGGCGAGAGATGGCGAGGAAGCGCCGTCTGATGCGCAGGGAGATCACATTCTCTTCTGCATCAAAGAAAGAGACTGACATCCTCCACGCCTTGTCGTTCTACCCCCAATCCGTCACTTTCTTCACCCGACTACAGACCAACTTGAGCCTCATACAACAAGCTGCTGCGTACCATCTTCGACTCTCCCCAGAAGCATGTTTCGTGCCCTCCGACTTCAACGATTGGCACTGGGGAAGCTTTAATGTCTGCATTCCCATCATCGTTGCCGGTAGTAGGCGGGCACTCATCCGGTTCCCTCTCCCCCATCGCGTTGGCGAACTTTTCAGACGAGGCAATGCGGACGAGAAGATCCGGTGTGAGGCCGGGACATATGCCTGGCTGCAGGAGAACTGTCCCTCTGTGCCAATTCCAAAGCTGCATGGCTTTGCACTGTCAACGGGTCAAACTGTATGTCCTTATTTCTAATACTGCTATTCGCTGTCGGTTCTAATCGTTGTTGTACCCTTCTATAGTTCACCGCTATCGAGAACCTACCAATTATACGTCGATATATAGAACATATCCGCCGTTTTGCTTTGGGGTTGCTTGCCTACCCGCTTCCTTCTACATACGTCCCCCGTGGGAGAACCGGCACTCAGTCTCTTGCTCACGCAGTAGGAGCCGGATATATACTGATCGACTACATCGAGGAGGCTGAGGGTACCATGCTCTCCCGCACATGGGAGGACCGCCGCAGTGACGCCAGGCTTCGATCTAACCTTTATCGAGGCTTATCAAGGATACTCCTTGACATCGCCCGTATTCCACTGCCCCGAATTGGTTCGTTCATAATAGACGACCACGGCTATATCCAGCTATCCAACCGACCATTCACCCTCGAAGTCGCTGACATGGAGAACTGCAACATTCCACTTAATATGCCTCGAGAAGTCACATTTTCCTCAGCTGATTCTTATCTGGCCAGTGCAATCTCACTGCACGACAACCGCCTTCGACACCAGCCCAACGGAGCCATCGATCGACAAGATTGCATCGACCAAATGTCTGCTCTAACAATGTTCAGGGTCGTAGCCCCTCGCTTATTCAGGCCTGAGCTATCCCATGGCCCGTTCGTTTATATGCTCAATGACCTTCACAGAAGCAATATCCTAGTCGATAAGGACTGGAATATCAAGTATGTAATTGATCTAGAGTGGGCCTGTGCAAAACCCATTGAAATGTTACATCCGCCTGAATGGCTTACCAGTCAAGCTGTCGATGAAATCAATGACGATGCTTATAATACACAGCGACTGGAGTTCATGTCCGTCCTACAAGAAGAGGAACAACGGATGTGCGGTGGGTCCGACAGTATCTCTAAAACCATGCATCAGGGCTGGAGTAACGGGACTTTCTGGTATTCTTTGGCACTCCAGAGTCCGACTGGAATATTTTCCATCTTCTACGACCGTATACAGCCACAGTTTGAGCGAAGTCATGCTACAGATCCAAATTTTTACAGAATTTCTTATCCATATTTCACCACAGATGCACACGCGTTTATTGCTCATAAGTTGCAACAGAGAGCTGATTATGATAGACAACTTCGCACTGAATTCGACATGCCACAGTTGCCTTGCATATAATTCTCCACTATACACCACTCTCATTTGCAGCAACAAGTTAGAAAAAGATTTCTCGACTACTCATCCACTTCCTGGTCCCTGCGTCGTTCCGCCTGTTCCTGTCGTGATTTCTTCGCTGCCTTCGCTGATGACGACAGTTGGAAAGCATCTGTCGGTTTTATAGTGATGGCAGTGTGGGCAGTTGCATCGTAACTTGAACGACCTGTACTGGCTCCTAAATCGGTCCCTTCTCCCTGGTGACGACCCTCTAGGCGGCCAAGCGCCTCCCGTCTACTAATATTCCCCTCTCTGGAGGTTTTGGCTGCTTTCGCTGATGACGACAGCTGAAACGCATCCTCGGGTCTTATAGGGATGGCGGTCTCTACCACTCCATCGTAGCTCGATCCGATTCCCTCCCCTGACCGGCTTGCTCTGCTATCTTGCCCATCTAATCTCCCGACCGGCGTTACTTCATCAAGAGCTGTTCGTCTATCACTGCTTTCTTCTCGATATTTTTTGGCAGCCTTCGCAGATGAGGAGAGGAGGCTGAGGTTGGATAGTAGCACTGGAGCTTTGTCACCTTGGCTGGTATTGGTGTCTTCGCCCTCCATTTTATTTATATAGATAATAGTGGCTCGAAGTTATCTAGTCAATCTAGTTTGAGTATATTGTGCGGATAGTAATACTGAATTCTCAAATACTAAGATAGTCTGATAGCGATATTTGCCAAAACGGAATTTCTGTAGTTGGATAGGATGGGGACAGATATGTTATACTCATCTTTCTTCTCTTTCAGCAAGAGCGCGGAGTTGACAGGGTACTAAGTCTTTGATGGCGGGGTTTGCATGCACTAGCACTGGGCACACCTGAAGCGATATTAGATGCATTTTTGTGCTTGGCTGTACAACCGTGAATTGGAAATCATCGGTAGTCAGCTTGTTACCTAGTCGGTTGACCACCTGATTACAAGGCTGATACTGACGTGCCGGGGATAAGGGCTCCAGTGATGGTATGAACCAAGGTCTTCGAACTGTGGATTTCTGCCAATTAATTACAATATTTTTAAAGAAACCTGTTCATAGTTCATATATTGAACGCACTTGAAGAGCTAGGGGTGTTTTGCAACGTTCTAGGGTCAGATATACTACGACCAACTAGGAACCAGCAACGAGCCGTCAAACTGAGTTGCTCAGTGATGGCTATGCTGGTCAGAAGTTCTCTCACTATTAGTTAGATGGCCCCGTAAGGCTCCGAAAGGTAATTCCAGAACCGGCAACAAGCTTCATCCTGTGTAACGCAGCGTAGTTTTCAACAAACCCTACAGAATGTGTATAGACTTAAACTGGCTCTCATTGCTGTGTCGTGTGTAGGCAGAGTCGACAAGCCGTGTAGCACAAGCTCTCCCTATATGCTAATAATAGCATATTTTAACCGTTCGGTTAGCGTGTGTAACTTAACATAGGAAAATAAAGGAGAGGGAAAGCAAAACCACATGTAGCTGCAGTGACTAGATTTCCAGCCCACCAGGTGCCATTGCCACTGTCATACAGCAGCAAATGATGCGGGAAAAATTGGCTTTGCTGTAACTGTCTATCCATAACAGAGAGCATACGACCAATGTAGCTTGTTGTATGGATGGGTATTGGGTAATGGGTACCTCAAGGTTCTTGCCGGACAATATATGGAGTAACCCATTCCGTAAGCTGTAGAAAGAGACAACCAGACCCAAGCCGGGAAAAAAAAAAAGAAAATAGTAATAATCATGCAGCAGCACGAAAGCGGATGCTTGTCTCCATAGCCTTGATATATGGCCCCGGGTTCTCTCTTTCTCCGTAGCAAGTGGACATGAAGACAAGCCAGCTACGGACATCAGGAGGGGCATCATAACGATGCATGGGCCCTGGCAATTTCGCATATTGTAAACTATCCCCATGGAAGGCCAACTTTTCCAGCAATGTCGGCCTGACGACGAGCTGGCAGCTGGCTCTCTCCTTCGCCGGAACCCGAGACAACACCAAACAGCCCATGGCCGGGCTCCGCACTCAGCAGCCCGCCGTTGGATATCTCGTCAAAACTGAGCCGGCCAACTGTTTCAGCCTCCATTTGCCCAATGGATGTTATCGATGCGCTAGCTGAGCCGGAGTGGCGTCGGAAAACCCGCATCTTCCGCGGAATTTCCGAGGGTCCCCTTTCGAAGCCACTTGCCTCAAAACAACAAAAAGAAGTTGAAAATACGCCCAGGACAATGCGAATTCATGCAGAACCTTTTATCGAGATAATTTGCAGTGGCTATGCTCCGGGTTTAGGTCTCAAATCCCCGCTTTTGGTCTAATGTCAATACAACAGCCATGAAGCGCGCGCTAGATACCACGTCGGACAGTCCGAAGGTCTGGAGACGACAGGAGCCTGTCTCGTGTCGATTCTGTCGAAGCAAAAAGCTCAAGTGCACAAGAGAGTTTCCCTGCGCAAACTGCCGCCAGCGAAACATAGAATGCGTCCCTTCGTATAGTGAGTGGTTCATGGCTCCGGGCTCGACGCTGCGGAGTTTCCGAGTTGCATATTGTGGCTTCTAGTGCTGTGCTGTGCAGCCCTGAATAAATGAGGATGACAGTCGATGTTGCAAGGAAGATAGACTAGCTAATGAAGTAACGTTACTTTTAGTCCGGAAAGTTGAGACAAAACACGACGGTCCCTTGTCCACTGTGGACGGACAGGCCGCTCAAATAACGTAAGATGGTGCCCTCTGTCGGAGATGTTGCTAAAGCTGGAGTGCTGGTGCACTCGTTGCTTTTACGCTAGCAGCTATCAAACCTTAAAACGCTATGTCTGACCTGTGCTCACCCGCCCTTGTAGGAGCCTTGAACAGCGAGTGAAAAGGATAGAGGAGAGGCTTGGCATCCCTGTGGAAGGGGTATCAAAGACAGAGGATGCATTGAGCTCCAGTGCATCAGCCCCCCCGGCCTTCCAGACGTCGGCTAAGGAGAAGGTTCTCCCCGATTCCCACATCGAGGCAGAGGGAATCGGCTTCGATTCCGCAGTTATCGGAGTGGACGGCAGCAAACTTGGCCATGATGTAGCCGATGAGGATGACGATAATATGACCGTAAGTACTTGTCTTTTTTTTTTTCGGCACACCCCGTCTTCCTTTCTCCATCCATCAAAATGCTTTTCGGGGAGGTAATAACGTTTGATGAACAGTCTCGAATTATCACCAGTCTCTTGCAACCAGATAGAGACAGCTCTCAGTTTCCTGGGGTTTGGTCAGGTACCACTGGACTGGGTGGCATAACATGTCCTCAGCTTCAGGCATTCTTGCCGCCCTACTCACGGGCAGTCGAGCTTGTGGATTATTATCAGGAGCATGTTGGCTGGGCTTATTGCTTGCTGCATATGCCAACGCTGAGACGTTATCTCCTTGAGACTTACCAACAATTGGGGGCGGGATATACACCGAATCTCCCAATTCTTGCCCTCATTTGTGCAGTATTTGCGTTGGCTAAGTTCTTCTCCCAGTCAACCTCGGCCTTCAGTACATCCGACACATCTCGAGACAAATCTCATCGGGAGTATATCGGGATGGCTAGTCAGGCTTTAGCAGAGGCCAAACATTTGGAACACCCTACTGTGGAGTCCATCCAAACCGGAACCTTGATTGGTATCTGTTTGCTCGTCAACACGGGAGCTATCCGCTCGGCCAGAGCCCTCGCGGGTTCCATGTATATGTCTGCCCAGGCATTGGGTCTACATCAATTGGACTCGGCGAAAAACAAAAGACTGCGCCAGAAAGGTCCATATGATAAATTGGACCTGGAGATTAAACGGCGTCTCTGGTGGCACATTGCATCCACAGACTGGTAAGATGTTAATCATCCCACAGAAATATAAATCATGTTGAAGCTAAGATGCGGTATAGGGTATATGCGTTCATATCAGGACCTCAGTTGGGTGTTTATATAGTGCAACCTGATCAGATGCATGTGGATCTGCCGAGTAATGCGGATGATCACGAAATAACACCAACTACTTGTCCGAACAAGCCCCTGACTGAGCCAACAGAGGTAACCTATCTTATCCTTCGATGCAAACTCGTCAGGCTCCTTGTGGACTTCATGGAAAGTGCCAATAGGGAAGGTGTAGGAATTCATGAACTGGAGTACGATCAGATACTTGCATTTGACAAGAAGATTAACAAATTCCTCGCCGCGCTACCATACTTTTTCCAAGTCGAGACCGAGGGCGAAGGTTTTGCAGAATTAGAAAAGAAACGAGAAGAACTGGACAAGCAACGGCCCTACATGAAATGGCAGCGACTGATGGCCCAGTTTGGAGCCTGCACAAGGATAACCCGTCTGCATAGGCCGTATCTTGCTCTTGGAGCTCGTGATCCCCGCTATGCATACTCCCGTATGGCATGTATCAAGTCAGCTCGGGTGGTGCTCGAGATCGAACGGCGCATGAGAAATAGCGTAGGCCCTTCCACTCCAAGCCCGTCCAAGGTCTGGGCCATTGCATATCAGCTGTTCCTGGCCACCACAGTCCTAGCTATGGACTATCATTTCAACAGGAACGAGCCGAGATCAGAGGAACGGGCTGAAGAAGTCCTTGAGTGCTGCCGAGCATTGGAGGCAGCGGCTCAGAGTAGTGTGGTGGCTGCGCGAGGCCTGAAGAAGCTCAAAGAGGTTGCTGCAAAATGGGGCCTCTTATCAATTATTAACCTCGAGTCCAAGCCTGCCGCTAGTCAGACCAGGAACGAACCAATGGTTGCGTCGAAAGAATCAGCCCCCATAGAGTATCCCGGGTATCCACAGGATGGAAACTCCCTCCAAAACACGGAAGTTGGGTCGCTTGGGGGCTTATGGGGAAACGTGTGGGAATACAACAGTGCAACGGATTATACCCAGTGGGACGGGATATTCCAGGACCTTGAAAGCAACCATGGCATGTTTTGAACAAACATTGTCTTTTGTATTGTTTGTATCAGTAGAATCACTTTTCTCGATGTTTTGAAGTTAGTTGTTTCGTGTTTGGTTTCAGCCGACGGCCGTATCTTAGTCATCACTTAGTCACCACTTAGTCATCGACTTGTCAGTACTTAGTCAGTGCTTAGTCAGCGTCGAAAAAGGTGCAGGTGGCACTTCGTTATCACCGAAGCCAAAGCAGATAGTTGATAATATAGAAGTTGGCCCAGGAATAGTATACACTCTACACGACGGTACTCCGAACCAACATAATGGATCCCTTTTCAGCAGAAGGAGGTGAGTACGGGCCCCCAATGGCAGTGTGGCAGCATGGCTAACTTTGCTTCTTCAAAACAAGAGCTCCTGAACATCCACAATGCCTTCTACCAGGGGCAGTACCAGGAAGTAGTCGACTTCGATACCTCCTCTTTCTCCTCCGAAAACACCCTTGCCGCCCGTGTCCTTAAGCTGCGAGCACAGATTGCTCTTGGACAAAGTAACGAAGTGCTAAAGAGCCTGGGAGCCAAGAGAGACACACCGGAGTTGGATGCTGTTGCGGCGTTGGCGGAACATGTCTCTGGAAACGAGGAAGAAGCCCTGAAGCTGGCCGAAGACCTGGCAGCTAAGCATGAGGATAATGCAGCGGTGCAGGTGCTGGCTGGCCAGGTCCTGCATGCACAAGACAAGACCGCCGAGGCGTTGGCTCTGCTATCGAAACATTCAGGAAACCTAGAGGCGTGAGTGCTACATTCTCCGTACGCTGCCTACGACATGAATGCATGGCTGATAGTCCGGCTACTATAGTGTCGCTTTGATTGTCCAGATACACCTCCAGCAGAATAGATCCGACCTCGCTCTGAAAGAAGTCCAGGCAGCTCGACGATGGGCACAGGATTCGTTGCTTGTCAACTTGGCGGAGTCGTGGGTTGGTATGAGAGTGGTACGTCCGTATGATACGCATGAAATGCAGTACAATATACAAAAAGGTTAATATCTGACTTGAATCAGGGTGGTGAGAAGTACCAGGCTGCTTTCTACGTCTACGAAGAACTCGCTTCCGTCCCCAGCACTACTTCCGCACTGTCAATAGTCGGTCAAGCAGTGTCTGAACTGCACTTGGGCCGCATACCGGAGGCAGAAGCCGCACTGCAGTCTGCTCTCCAGAAGTATCCTGAAGATCCTCAGGTACTCGCAAACTCTATTGTATTGAATGCTATCAGTGGAAAGGACAAGGAAGAGCTGACAGAGTAAGTCAAATACTGCTACGAGATTGTCCACTTTCGGTACCCTGCTAATAGACAAATGCAGGAGACTAAGCAAGGTCCAGCCTGACCATGCATTCCTTACCGACTTGAAGGAAAAGTCGGATCTCTTTGACACAGCTGCAGCAAAATACTCCGTCAAGGCCTAGTTATCTTTGATTTCACAACATAGAACCTGGTGTTTGCTTCTTCCAATAATAATGAAGTTTACGGTTTATCCAATTCTACCATCCCAAGATCTACGTCTTTCTTGTAACCTTGGTAACGCCTTTGAACATCGCTAGGCATTATTAACATGTATCATATGAAAGCAAAAACGCATGGTATCTATAAAGGTGGCTATCGTCTTCGTCTAGTCTATCCGCTACGGCAACTTCTCCATGAGCCAAAGCCGCAATGTGCTGCCCATTCCAGTTTCTTTTTTTGCGCCCATAATACGATTGAAGATAGGACCAACATGTGGCTCACCCTCGCAAACAACATACTTGAGATTTGGAATGGCAGACTATTACCAGAAGATTAGCATTTAGAGTCAGAATCGATGGATGGAAGAATGCATCCTCCTCGCCTTACCTTGTTCTTGTCAACGAATTGACCGACTGCATCAACAAGCACATCATCCCCTCCAATAAACACCAGCAGCGCCTTGGTCTTGACGTCCTTCCACCATTCCACCGGTGCCTGGTTGGCCTGGATATAATTGTCCAGCTTCCCGTCGCCGATATACGCCTTGCCCCAGTACTCTCCACTCTTCATCGAGAGGTAATCCTTCTTCGCATTGCTGGTGTATGAGGGATAATCTTTATCCATCGAGACCCAAGGGGCCATGGTGAACGCACCCCCAAGTGGACCGGATAGTTCTAGCGGCTTGATAGCTTCATGCGGATGGGAGAGATGCGAAAGCACGCCCAGCGTCAGGTTCCCTCCTGCAGAGTCACCGCCAATCAAGACATTTTGAGGCTCACGGCCTTTCTCGACAATGATGTAGCGGAGAGCTTCGACGGCTTGTCGTAGCTGTGTAGGATAAACGCCTTCAGGGGTGAGGGTATATGAGAGGAAGAAGAAAGCGACGTCCTTGCCAGCTGCATTGAGCTTCTTGAGCATGTCAGCGTATAGCTGGAAGTAAGCCAGGTATGCAGGGAGCGCAAATCCACCGCCTATATGCTCTTGTTAGTGATATATATACCTATAATAGGTACGCTAGATATATGTACTGACCGTGGAAGTAGACCACTACGTTCTTTGCGTCTTTCTTGCCAATCCAGTGCCCCTGAGCGCCATGTTCAAGCTGCACGGTATCCGGCTTGAGGCGACGCTTCTTCGAGAACGTTTCATAATTCTGCGCCGTAGATGGATAGATGAAGCTGCCGGGTCAACAGGTCAGTCTATATAGGCTTTATATTGGCAATATGAGAGCCGTTCGGGAAACTGTCTTACTGAAGCTGCCTTATGGACATCCGCCAGAGGAATCGCCGAACGACCGCATGGCGGATGTGAGTCCTGTATGACCTGGCGCCATCCTGCTGGCGCACCAGGCCAGTGACGGCCGCAGCGATGCCAGTCGCAAGCAGACCGAGACCGGCTCGTAGCAAGTCAAGCTTCTCTCGCACCGTCAGCTTTACGGGGGAGTTGACGGGGACAAGGGCCTTCTCCGCCGCCATAATTGCAGGACTGGTATTATGGTATTTGACTGAGCGGATAGAATCAAGCACTTCAATTGACTGTTTATTTCATCCCCGGAATCGCGACAAGCGGAGTTACATGGGGTACGGGGTAATAATATATATTAATATTTTGGCTAAGTACAGCGATCATGGTTGAGAGATCAATTATTGAGAAGGCTCTGCGCATGCAAGGGGAAAGCTTCACATGAAATGATCCCCAGCCCCCCAGACTCTGGAGTAGAAATGGGGAACATAGTTAATGTCCTTAGCTAAGTACAAACGCATATGTAAAGAAAATAATGGCCTATGGGTAAAAGGAAGAGCTTATAGGGAGTTAAGGGGAGAAATCGGGCGTCGGGGGAGAATATTATACTCAGGGGGAAGCAGGCTTAAGGGGGATGAGAGAGATCTGCTTACATAAGCGATAAAGGGTTGCGGGTCGTTATTTATAAAATATATATTTGGATTGAGCAGTTAATTATGTTCATTTTCTCATGGCTGGGACAGCAGCATGCTGTCAAATAAAGAGGAATATGGGGAATATTTCGTGATGGACAAAGAACGGAAAAACTACGTCGAAAGGGCCGGTAGAGAATGATCCATTTGAAAAGGCTGGAAGGTAAAAAAAAAGGCAGTCAACATTGTGTTGAGTTAGGCATAGCGACAAGCTAGAGGTTGCCGTTGACGGGGCCATCGTCGAGCTCGCAAAAAGCCTTGAAGGTGGTTAAGTCCTTGCCGTCGACGGTGCTCTCGATGACACACTCGGCCGTAGCACCAACAAAAAAGACATGACCTTCCTTCATGTCAAAGCTCTTGGCTGGACCGACGCTGATCTTGCCCTCGCCGGCGGTGCAGATGATGATGCTGGGCCCGTTGATGGGCTCAAAGGTTGCTTTAGCACCGGCAGACTTGAGATCGGTCTTGACGACACTGAACTCCTCGATTGGAGGGTCGTACAGCGAGGCCGACGATGCGCTTGAGTAGGCTATTGTGTTCATCTTCATGTACGGGTACTCGGTGGGGGTCATCTTCTGCTCCTCGATGGGTGCATAGGAATAAGTGAGCATGCTGGTTAGGGTAGACACGTCCTTGAACTTGGGTGTGAAGCCGGCTCGGACGACGTTATCGGATGAAGCCATGCACTCGACGATGTCTCCGCTGATGTAGGCGTGGATGTCGTCTGCCTTGAGGAACATGGCCTCTCCGGGTTCAAGCTTGATGAAGTTGAGGAAGAAGAGGACGAAGAGGCCGATGTCGTTGGGGAACTGGCCGTTTAGCCGGACGACCAGCTGAGCGAGCTCTGAGGGGTTGGCTGGGTTAGTATCTGGGGAGGAGGAAGAAGTAGCAAAGCTGTCTGGCGAGCTCTGTGCGGCACTGATGAGTTTCTGGGTAGCGCTGGCGATGGACTCTGGCGACGACTGCATCAGCTTCGTGAAGACCTCTCTGAGGGCAGCCTTGTTCTTCTGCGTGGCCTCTTCATCCTGAGTTGTCTCCTGGCCGCTGACGGTCTTCTCGAAGGCCTCTGCTGCCTCGTTGCCAAGCAGATCTCGCAGTGGCTCGACAGCTCGTAGAAAGTGGACGATCTCAGCGAGCGGACGGAAGCCACAGAGACCCTCAAAGGGAGTCACTGCAATAGTCATCTCTGGCTTATGGTTGTCATCTGTATAACGTTTTAGTAGAGTGCTTACTCCCACGGTCCCGGATGAAGCCTGTTGTTGAATACCTGGGTAGTTCTTCGAGTCTTTGGCATGCAAAGTCTCCGCCAGCTTCTTGTTCGGATGGGCCTGGATGCTGAGCGCCTTGCCGATAGACAGAATCTTGAAGAGAAAGGGCAGCTTTCCACCGTATCGAGAGACTATCTCCGTCGACATGAGGGCCTTGTTCGTCTGTACCAGGTCGAGCAATGTCCTCTGGGTCTCGAAATCCTTGGACGGCAGGGAAGGGTGTGTTCCCATCCACAGCTACACATATTGTCAGTATCATTATAACAGTGTTATCAATAATAACAACAACAACAACAACAACAACGACAATAATAATAATAATAGAAACAACGGCTCTACCTCAGCGTATGGCTTGTCTGCTTCCACCGAGAAGCCATCTATAGGCGTGGCAGCTGCATACCTGGCCGCCGCGGACTCGGAGCCAACCTTGCCTGTCAACAGTCGAGATATCAGCAATTGGCCATGCCCAGAGCCCCCGTCGAAGCACCCATGAGGCTGCCTGCAGCAGGTCAAAGACGGCGAGCAGGGCAAAACAGGGCATGCTCACCCCAGTCGTAGCTGTTGACTCCTGTAGACACCAGTTAGCAGGCGCTTTCCCAGCAGCAGCAGCAGCAGCAACGCAGGGACGAGCTCACCACACTGGAGACGGAAGAGAGGGACCTGCATGTCTACAGCGCAGCGAGACCGTCTCGGAGGGATGCAATATCGACGAAGAAGAAGAAGTAAGGGAAGAGGAAGACGCTGAAGAAGCGCAAGTCTGACTGTCAACAACAAGCTACATCATCGCCGAGGGGCAAGCAAGCAGCTAAAGATGGAGCCAGGCGCGGGCAGACTCCAGCCACAGGCGGCTGGCGCAGCGCCACAGCAGCGACTCCTGCAGCGACTCCGGCCGCAGCGCCAGGAGCTCCGGCGCCAGCTCCAGCAGCAGCAGCAGCAGCCAGCGGAGGAAACCCAGGATAGCCAGCAGACAGCGACCGGGCCAGCCACTGTCATCGATTTGGTGGCGCAGGACGAGCGGACCCGCGGGACGGCCGGTGACGCTGATGGCATCCATGGTTCAGTGTCAGACGCAGCAGCAGCATCAGCAGACGACAGCGACAGCGACAGCGACAGTGACGGCGACAGCGACGACGACGACTACGACTACGACTACGATTACGACTACGAAGAGGAAGAAGAAGAAGAAGAGCCAATAAGGGCGGCATCGGCAGCGACACCGCGCTCGTTGCGGCATAAGAAGACAGGGAGCAGCAGTTATAACGTCAGAAGCACCCGCAGCCGGCCGCTGACCATCCACACATCATACGCCTGGGAAGCATTGGATATTCAGCAGCAGCGCAACGAACGGGTCGTCGTCAACATGTCTCGCAACCGTCCGCGCGGGCCTGCGACGAGAGAGAACGGGCTGGCGGCCGACGAGGAGGTCGAGATGTGGAATAAGATCTGTCAGGATATCCGAAAGGCCGCTGAGAAGAACGAGAAGCAGCGGGCGATAGGCCTGCAGATTGCCGCCCTCAACGAGAAGATTGCAAGGAACGGCAACAGTACGTTTGTTTTTATTATTTTTTATTTTTTATTTTTAATTTTCTGACCTGCTTGCTACGGGTTGCTAATATCGAGGTAGAACCATCGCTGGGGGATATAGACCAGCTGGACAGCCTTCACCGGCAGCAGCTGAAGCTGAGCGCAGAGGAGAGGGCCATCCTGCAGGACGAGCCCGCGGACGTTACCAAGAACCTGGGCATCCTGATAGCCCTCCGCTCGGCGTCAGAGGCGGCGGACCCCCAGAGCCGGTCTCTCTCGCAGAACAAGTCTCGCAAGCGGAAGGGGGACGTCGACCTGGCGTCGACCGATTCCCCGGCGCCATCGTCTTCGGGCGTCTCGTCTGACAAGCTGAACCGGATCAAGGGCGGTGCCCAACGCAGCACTAGCGTGTCTAGCAGCCACCGCGGTGACACTGCTTCACTCGACAACGGCGTGGAGGGAGGCCGTCCGTCAGAGAAGGCGGATCAGCTTGTCATCGGCGCGGAAGTTGTCTTCAAGCACAACAAGAAGCAGCAGGGCGTCGAGGGCGAGGGCATCCAGTGCATCATCAAGAACATCACCGGCGAAGGGAACAAACGACGGTATGCTTGGCACTCTGGAATTCCTGCCCTTCCTTTTTTAAGTTAGATCTTCTCTGTTGACAGAGTTACTCGCAGGTATGATGTGCAAGACCCAGAACCGATCGAGAACGGTGAGGAGGGAGCCATCTATAAGACCACCGCAGCCTCGCTGATCCACATCCCCAAGGCTGGCTCTCCGCTCCCCCAGTTCCAGATCGGCAAACAGGTCCTGGCCAGGTATCCAGACACCACAACCTTCTATCGGGCCGAGGTCATGGGCCTGAAGAAGGAGGTCTACCGCCTCAAGTTCGAGGGCGAGGAGGACGACAAGGAGATGGAAGTCGACCGCCGCTACGTCCTGGACATTCCCAGCAAGTGAACCCCCTCCCTTTTTCGTCTCGTCTATCCGTCTGCTATCTTTAATTCTCCATCTCTATCTCTCTACATTTCTATCTTTATGGTCTTCGTCCCATTTGGAGTTTGCAGGAGCCATGGCCGCTTCTTCCCTTTGGTCTTTTATCTTATGTCTTTCCCTGCAGGAGTTGGGCCCAGATCTCATGCATGCCTTACCTATCATCTACCACTTCTGGACATACTACCGTGTATTATATCTACCAAACAAAAAGCCATTCCTCATGCTCATCCTTCTTTTCTCTTCGCCTCATCACCCCTAATAATCAATGGCCTTAGCAAAAGCTTTGATATCGACGCTTTTTGGTCCTTTCTTGGCAACTCTTGGCACATGGAAACTTTTTTGTATGACTAAGCCTCCGGCTGCCGAGGTTTGCTTTTTACGCCCGAAAGGAGCGAGCGAGCGAGATAGAAACATCCAACCCGCAAGCTGCAGAACGGCGGTGATTTAAAAAGGATAAAGAGCGGACGACAAGACGGGAGAGAGAGCGAGAGCGAGAGAGACGCAGAAAAGCATTCGATTATTTTTCCCCATTGCCAGTCAGAGTCTTCTATGAGCCGACGTCGTGATGCCTTCGCCATCCGCCCACGCCTCGCCCTTTATCGCCCCGCGGCCCTTCCACCCTCACGTCACCGAGTTTCCCCTGACACAAGACACAGCTATACCCTTACCGTCGTCGTCCTTCGCGGGAGGCAGCAACAGCAGCACCGGTAGCAGAAATATTGATGCCGATGGCTACACCACTCCCAATTCTGTCTCAACTCCAGCCTTGCCGCCATCTATAATATCTCCCGCCCTATCCCCTACCTCTACTCTGACCTCCACTCCGGATGTCACCAGCGCCAGCCCCGGTAGCAGCAATGCGTACCCTGCCATTATAACTCCACGGGCCGACCTAGAGGACCAACACACACTCTCTAAACCTCCCAGACTACTCCAACATCTTCCAAAGGTTGAATGCATTGTGCGTGCCCGCATACCCACAACCTCCGGCGCGGAGATGTTTCTACATCTGTACCAGAACGATGCCGATAATAAAGAACATCTTGCTATTGTGTTCGGCAACTCAATTCGCAGCCGGAGCCTGGATAGAGTCCGAGAAGGTGAGACGGAGATGGATCGCATGATCAGGGGTGCATACGTGGGTAGACTGCGGCCAGGACGCCAGAGCAGTCGGTATGACGAGGCTATTCCGGCAAATGATACCCAGTCTCCGAAGAACACCTCCGTGCAGGGCCCCTCACAAGCTCCGCTGGTCAGAATACATTCAGAATGCTACACGGGTGAAACAGCATGGTCTGCTCGGTGTGATTGTGGCGAGCAGCTAGATGAAGCTGCTCGCCTCATGTCCGAACCCGCTACACCTGAATCCAGTGAAGATACAGACGTCTCAGGACCCGGTGGTGTGATCGTCTACCTGCGTCAGGAAGGTCGTGGGATTGGCCTCGGTGAGAAGCTCAAGGCATACAATCTGCAAGACCTCGGTTCAGATACCGTCGAAGCCAACCTACTCCTTCGCCACCCCGCAGATGCGCGCAGCTATGGCCTAGCAACCGCAATCCTAGTTGATTTGGGATTAGGACAGGACTCGTCCAATGGCGGCATACGACTATTGACGAATAACCCTGATAAAGTGGCTGCTATTGAGGGGCCGAATAGGGAGGTTGTCGTTCGAGAGAGGGTGCCAATGGTACCGCTTGCGTGGAAAACAGGCGGTGCCAGGGGTATCAAAAGTGTTGAGATCGAGGGATATCTTCGAACCAAGGTCCGTCAAAATTTCTCGACTAATTCCAGCCTCCTGTATCTCAATGCGCTACTAACATAATGTACATAGATCGGGAAGATGGGCCACATGCTTGAATAGGCCGATGCCCCCCCCTTAACCCCCTGAGCACCGTCTCATGGCAAAATCCACAAAATGCGCATTTCTATTTATGCCACTTATACTTTCAGGACCCATCTCCCTAGCATCTTTTTACATTTACAGCGAGTCTTCTTTTACTATTTTGCACGTGTTAATGAGCCTCTAAACTTGCTTGCTGTTTCAGCCTGTTTTTCTTTTATCAACAAGCTAGTTATATGTTACATGACCGGGAGGAACCTTTCAACCCACCCACATCTGACGGTAGCTGGGCACGGCCCGACCGAACGAACGATCGTTAGCCACTTATAGCCTTAATGATACCTTCTTTTTGCCCGATAGAAAGATGTCTTTTCTTTTTCACAATGACCCCCTGCCACACCTCCCTTAAGTGATTCCACTGTCCGACTATTAATAGCCGGTATTTATCTAGGATTACAGTATCCTTGCCCTGGCAAAATGGGGAAGCTGGGTCATAGTACTTAGTGTTAATTCTCCGATCACCAAACTCAGCTTATTTGTTTACCTTTCGAACCCTGACAATTGGTCCGACAAACTAATTAGTTATTTATGCAGTGCTACTAACATGATCCTCCCATCCGTACGAAGCCTTGTATAAAGCCTCGCATTTCTTCGCTTTCTCTGAAGGTGAACTTTGCCCCTTGGCGAAATCTGCCAAAGGTCCTCAGACACACCCGTCATCTTCTCAAAGGATCTAGGTATACCTGATCTTGATTTCCGGACAAGCGTTTAAATATGGGGATAAATGTCTAGATCTATGCTTTTCAATCTTTATATTTATCTTAAGTATATTTGGAATCCAGGCTAATTATCGCTAATACGAATCTTGGAGTTGGCAGACTCTATAATTTACTATATTATTACTGCGATAACAGTTCTAGACCTGCCTACTTCCCTCTGGTTTAACACGACTCGTGTGGGCTCATGATCAGGTCACTATTCCAGATATCTATACGTCCAACCACTACAGCTACATACATGATCATGTTAACGTTGGCTTGTGTCGACGGCTCTCTCCTTTCTTCCGTTTAAACAATCCGAATACTGATTCCAGTCTATATTTGAGCGATGTCTAGAAGATACCAAGGCAAACAGCCACCATCTAGTCTAAGACATGAACAGGAAATCACTTTCTCCCCTTTGCAAAGAAGAGAGTCTTCTTCCCGCCCCAGGCCTCGGGAACGGTCATCTCCTCTTTCATCACCGTATACTCGCTCTCCTTGCAGCCTGCATTCTTGAAAAACTCATGCATCTCCTTCTCAGTAAACCCACTATGAGACACCGTGTGCGCGGCAGGATGATTAATGTCCGCGGGATGAACGTCCTTTCCTGTCTTCTCCCAATCGGCAACAACAACAATACCGCCTGGTCTAAGACGTTCAGTGAACCTGTTAATCAGCTGCTGCGGGTCATCGATGTGATGCAGCGCGTGGACGATGATGATAAGGTCGAAGTTGAAGAATTCCTCTCCAGCAATGGAGGGTGTGCCTTCGGCTTCAGTCAGATTTCCCTTGACAGCGTATATCTGAGTCTCTGGCAATTTCTCCTGGCGAGCTGTCTGGTTGAACTTGTCAACCATGCCTGCGGCCTCGTCGACACCGATACATTTGGAGAAATAAGGAGTAAAGAACTGTGCGTTGGTTAGTTGAGATAATAGATGAGCACTTGAAGAGCAGCTATTGCTTACCCGTGAGATATATCCTTCACCGCACGCATAGTCCATCATTTTACCTTTCAACTGACCATCGGTTGGGGGATGGGCATCGAACCAGGCCAGGTTCTCCTGGAGGTGCTCGCGGATCTTCTTTTGGCAGGAGATGACCCATTCGGTATTGAACACAGTCGAAGCAGCGGAACTAAAGATTTCTCAGTGTCCTAGCATCAGCTAGTAGAGGGATAATGGGGCCGTACCTCCAGTATTCTCCATTGACCTGGGTATGGCTGGGGCCATGCCCGTGGCCGTGGTGATGATGGTGATGGTGATGGTGATGGTCTCCACTCATGATTGATGGCTCAGGTAATGTTGATAAGGGATGAATACCAGGTATTCAATGCTCTGTGAGGAGGGTAACTGTTTGGCTAGGGGATGTCTGATGTCTTGAGAAAAGTCCAGGGCACAGCGATGCTCCAAGGTCCTTTTATACCCCAGACTCATCCCTTTCACCATCCGTCAATAACCCCGGAGACATTTTCAAATTGTCTCCGAGCACTATTTTTAATTCTCTTGGGTGTTTTATTCTCGACCGGATGGCTTAGATTATGGGGCTTTTGAGCACATAAAGTGCGGCTCCAACCTTGTGTACCTGCCCCTTAGAGGCTCAAATCACCCACAACTGACGCCAACTCTCCCCATGAGCTGACCCGTGTAAGCACAATAATATCTCTGGGTAATGAGACATTCGCAGCACTATTGTATACGTTGCGGCCTCTCAGTTTCTGTCGAACATTTTGGGTATTATGGCGTTTAGTTATGCCCTCAAGGTGCCTCGAAACCAAATTCGTTGTCTGACATCATCAAAGACCGGGATGCAAGGGGCTGCATAACGCTCCGAAAAAGTTTCCGCGGTGTGCATATTGATCACCCTGTGCTCCGCCAACAGGGTGCGGTTAATGTATCATGAAATGCAATCAGTAGAGGACCGAATATCATATCACATCGATGCACTGTGTACGTCCATCATGGTCACCTAGACGTTGTCACAGTGCTGCTTGTTCGTGGCCGTGAAGAAGACTGCCAAGTCCCAAGATTGATTAGATTAGATAAAATAGACGCCAAGCCAGGGCGCACCTTATATAATCAGCACGTGATATGGCTTGCCGTTTCTTTTTTTGGTGACAGCCGATAAAAAGAGCGATAACCCCGGCCCTTGTGTAAGTACTCCGGAGATGGATGCCAACGCGGACACGAAGGAGAAATTCTGCACCTTCGCTCAAGGTAGCTAACTAACAGTCCACTTAGGCGGAGGAACTGACGGCGGAACAGATGGAAGCCTCACCCGCTGCCCCAACAAATGCGGCGGATCGGACCTCCCGCGTCAACATGTTCCGGAAGAATGGCAAGCCGACGTCGTGTGAGCCATGCCGAATTTCAAAAGTCAGATGTGACCATGTAATGCCCATCTGTCAGCGGTGCGTGAAGAAAGGGATATCTGAAAAGGTACTCCGGAATATGTCTGGGATTTTTTTTTTCTTTTTTTTTTTTTAGCGGATTACTCCTTGATATTAACTGGATCGCTAGTGCTACTACCATGAGGCCCCTTTGACTCGGGTTAAGGACCGGAATCGAGTCACCAAGCCACAAACCTCTAGTGTTGTTAGGGCATCTGTCTCGGGGCGGCGTAGCTCTGATGTCGATAATATCCTTGTCAAATACCCAGCTTCCTCAGAGGAGAAAGCAGATGGTGGGACCACCATTCAGAATGCCTACCTCGGCTCAACCAGCTTTCTCTCCGTCTTTCAGGACACTCCATCTGGATTCTCCAGCTGCTCTGTCCTCTCGCCACAAGTAGATCTAGGACAATGGGGCTATGATGCAGCATATACGGAAATCAATCTGGCTCGACTGCTTTCCGCCTTCGAACTTTACGAGAAGCTGATTATTTCTTTCTACGAAAGATGCAACCTCACTATTATTCCAATGCAGCTCATTATTGCTCCTATAAGGGCCACTAGGGCCTACTTTGATGCTGGTGGGTGGCTTCAAAAGTCACGGCAGCGTGAACTGTACGCGAAGATAACTCAGAACACGGCTCGTCCACTGCAAGTCACCGGTACTCCATCGCTGGAAGGCTTTTGTTCTCTGTTCTCTGGAGAGAACATACGATGGGAGTTTGTTGGAGTAATGTTTTCCTTAGCTGGGCTGAGCGCTATTTCTGACCATCTTCTTACGGCAACGCCTTACCCTCCTGAGGACGAAGTTCCCAACAGAGAAGCGTTTGCAAAGGAGATGGCTGCTGCATGTAATAGCTGTTCGCAACTATGCAAACGCTATGACAACTGCAACGACATAATGGTTTGGCTACAGTACACTTATGCAGTGCTATCGTCAGATGTCCTGGGAGAAACGAGTAATTATATTCCCTTCATACTAACCCCCCCCCCCCCCCCCCCCCCCCAACCATTTTTACCTGAGAATCGTTTACTGAGCAGTTAGGCCACCATGTATATGCAGTTCTAGGCGACCTGGTCACCGATATATATGGGATGGGTCTTCATCGTCACAAAAACCCAGATTCGGACGTACCTTTTTTCCTTTCAGAAGTTCGAAAGAGACTGGTTGCAGCAACATATCGAACAGATAAGAATATAGCCACATTTTTAGGACGGCCCCCACGCCTTCCATATCACTATTGTGATGCATCCCTTCCTCTCGACATTGATGATGACGAGCTTTTTCTTCAAGGCGATGAGCTTGACAGGGTTTTACAGAAACTTACGCACGACGGCTGGGGCTCTGAAGGAACGTCAAACGGTAAAATACGCCCAGTAACCGCCATCAGGATGCGTTATTTCTCCTCAATCTTTCGGGAGAAAGTATTGAGGCTGTCTCTTGGTCGAAAAGGGGCCAATTTCTCTCATGACCTGCAGTAAGCCGTCTGCCTAGCGTCATGTTTATTTCCAGAGTGATAATAGGTTTAACATGCAGCTATTTAGGGAAACGTACCAAGAGTGCAAGCGGATGTTGGATGGGGTTCCCGGTTGGTTCCACTATCGAACCAACTGCTGGGAAACGCTTGACTCGGTTACGTGCATTGTAAGCCTTGTGATTTACCTTGAGTGCATACATACAATGTTTCAGATTGAACGCATACGCTGTCGAGAAAAGCAGGGCTCAATAAGGGACCTTCTTGACAGCTCGATGCAAGCCGTTTCTGCTGTGATAGACTTCACTAAACAGGGGGAGAAGAAGGGCAACAAAGTTTGGAAAGACTTTGCTTGGGTGGTAAGTTCATCTAATCATCCAGGTTACCCACGGCTGTATAGAATGTAAAGGGGGATGTTAATATATAGGAACCTTGCGAATAGTTTCTACTCTATGCTCTGCCGACGGCGGGTGTCCTCGCAATTGAGCTGCATCGATGCACGGTCACCGAGACCCCTTTGTCATCTAGCGCACCCCGGTCAGAAGTCGTTCGCAACCTTAGCATGATAGTTTCATGGTTCGAATGTACTGACCTGCCAGTTAATGCCACTCATAACACTTGTGTGGAGGTTAGTAAAGCTATCAATAAGCTTCTAGACGATACTCTCAACTATCAGCCTGGTGCTTGTCAGCGACGAATAGGAGCTCGGCAGGAAGTCACTGAACTAGCTGTCCCATCCGAGATCCCGCAAACTACGACCAGTGCTACCCCAGGAGGAGACGCCGATACCGCGGTGAAAAATACTAAGCCCTACGACTTGGGGGCTCCAATGTTACAACCTGAGCCGTTTGGCAATGATTTGACCAATGGCATCTCTATTGGAACTGGCGAAAGCTTTCTCACCTGGCTTGATGAGCTTGGGATGGATACGTCCATCCCTGAATTTCTTCTATGAACGCACTGGCATAATTACAAGTCGTGTCTCGCAAAGTCACCCCTGCTAATGCATCCGGTATCACTTTTCTAGCGCCATCACTAGACCTGAAGCAAGCCCCTCCTTTCACGAGAAAGGCTTGTGGTTTTATAATTTTGTTTTTCTCCCCCTTCTTGAGGCTGACGGTAGAGCGAATTTTGAGTTGTACAGTTCAGACTCTGGACCGGGCTGCGAGATGGGATAACGAAGCCTGATGGCCGTACGGAGTGTGCTAACGACAAATCGGGAAACGGGTAGCCATCAAAGACACATTGAAGAGTTGTCTTGCTGGCCAATAACAATAATATATGCACGACGTACGAACACTGCAGGACAAGGTCGACATGCCGCCTGCAACAGCTAAGCACTTGAGCCAGAGATAGGGATCAACGGCTGGACCTGGGGACCTTATTCGTCGTTTCCGGGGTGTCCCTATCCGAATGGCTTGTGCTATTATTGCTTTGGGGGTAGTATCACGCTCGTTCCTTTTTTATACGGAGTCTATCTTCGACCTTTCTGGCTTTGCGAGTCTTCAGGCTTCTGACGCGACACAACTCTGGAATCAAACTCAGCCATCACCATGCTGATCCAGTTGTTCGAATTTTGGCTCGAACCGGCTTTTCTTCCAGGCCCAAAATATATCTATCGTGATTGTATCTGCATATCGTCTTTACCGGGGAGGGGGGGGGGGGGGGGGGGGGGGCAAGACTATGGGATGAGGACGTTTTGACCGAGGTCAACTAACCAACGCCAACAGCCAACAATACAGCATATTCACCACGACTATCGGTGCATGCTAACTAGCATATTAACCTATGTAACACTCTGTATTCGACATCTCTGCTGCATATATTAGTCGGAGTAAATTCGGCTTGAGTCGTCATCTGCTGTCGAAGCCTGCAAGATGCAGCTAAAACTTCCCATCCCATCCCTCGTCCCTAGCTGAGAACGAAGAGGAGTTCCCCCCCAAGTCGACAGTGGCGCTCTAACAAGGCCAATCATGGGGGCATCCCGCTCCATCCCTGGGGCTCGACGATAGTTAAAGCGCCTCTCCTGTCCCCAGAAGGCTGGATGAAGGCCGCTGCCCGACTTCCCGGATCTATCTTCGCACTTCCAGAGTCTTCTTGTGTTGGCTTGGGGGAAAAAGGAAAAAGGAACCCGGAATCGTGGATATAGAACTGGCAGGCAACCCAAGACCCTTCAGGGGGCTGGATTTTTTTAGCTTCGGGCGACCTCGTCTCCTTCGTCTTCGCCTTGGGGGAAACTAAACTATCTTGCCATCAGCCAAAAAAAAAAAAAAAAAAAAAAAGAAAGAAAGAGAGAGAGAGAGAGAGCCGCTGAAGTCGCAATCAAATATAACGACCTCCTCCGCCCGGTTCCTGGGAGAGAGCCAGTCGCGCGTTACGCATCTAACCCCGTCGTTACATGCATTCTCGTTGGCCGCGGGGGAAGACAGCGGATGAACGCAAGTGACAGCCCTACGTCACGACGAAGGATCAAAGAATCACCATGGCTGGACAAGTGTCACCTGGCTCGGAGACGGTGTCGGCCTGCGACTCGCCCTCGGTGAAGCAGGAATGCGTAGCTTCCCCCGGATCTGCATCTGGTCTCGGTTCTGGTTCGGCTTCTGGATCGGGGGTTGGTGCTACGGCGGCTACAGCACCAACGACAGCGCCAGCAGAGCCAGCGATGCCTGGCAAGAAACGAGCGAGCACGTCCTCACGAGGAGTCGCTAACCTCACGGCGGAACAGCTCGCGAAGAAACGGGCGAATGACCGAGAGGCGCAGCGGGCTATTCGAAAGCGGACGCGGACACAGATCGAGTTGCTGGAGCAGAGGGTGCGTGAACTGACCTCGTTACAACCATATCAGGATCTCCAAGAAGCCCTACGACAGAAACACATACTACAGGCAGAGAACAATGAAATCAAGCGAAGACTTGCCTCTGTCATGGCGACCCTCCAGCCGATCCTCAATCATCATTCAGGGCCTCTCACGTCGACAATACCGCCTTTGAGTCCTCACAACGACGTTCCTTCCACGAGAGTCCACAGACCCAATTCCGTTGCCAATGCAGATATACCTCCAACTCCGCCGCCACAGTCAGACTACGCAGGCTCTCAGCAGCAGGCACCCCAGGGTGAGCCATCCGACCGACGTCTACGGAACCCCGTGAGCGTGGAATCTACAAACGGCGGCCCTGGTGCCTATACAAGCTCTCCTGCAACAAGCGTTAGCCCGTCACCGTCAGCCTCCAGCCAGGCGCACGGCCATCGGCAAAGCTGGCAGCAGAATGCACCCACCTCTCACAATGCTGATAACGCATGGCCACCGCATAACCAGCTCTTCGACTACCAGAAGCGTAACCTTACGCATAACTTGGAGCTTTCGGGAAATGGCGAGAGACTGGGGTTGAATTTTCTCTTGGATTCAACGCAGAATGTTCCCAAAGTAAACGACTTCCGTATTGGTGTTGGTTCTTCTTCCGCCAACGGACCCCTGTCGTATAATAACCGCTTGAACACCCCCTCATATGGAGATTCAAACATGTGTCCGTATTCGATACCCATCCGGAATGTTGAGCCTACTTGTCCCTTGGATGGCATTCTCCTTGATTTCCTTCGTACCCGCCAGCGAGAAGCAGCCGAGGGTGTTCCAAACAAGCAGCTTGTCGGCCCTCCTTACCCCAGTGTCTCTTCTTTGCTAAACCCGGCCAAAGGAATCTATTCACATCCTCTTTCAAAAGTATTCACCGATATTCTCAGCAAATTCCCAAATATCTCGAACCTCCCAGAGCAAGTTGCAGTTCTGTATGTCATGTTCCTCCTGATGAGGTGGCAAATATACCCAACTCGTGAGAATTACGACCGTCTGCCTGAGTGGATGACACCACGGACATCACAAATTGTAACTCCCCACGCGGCCTGGATTGACTACTTACCCTGGCCCCGTATGCGGGACCGAATGGTTGCTTCGTATGCGGACTATGACTTCTCCAACTGGTTTATTCCTTACACCACGGGGCTCAGCCTCAACTGGCCTTATGAACCCACCGACACCCTCCTTGCCACTAATGACTCAGATGAGCTGATAATAAATCCAGTCTTTGAACGGCACTTGCGTGACCTGAATAACTGGTCTCTGGGAACGCTTTTTGCAACCACATATCCTCATCTAGTCGACACAACCAGGATCGTTCCCGAGTCGAATTCCCAACACAAGAACCGGAGTAGCGGTTGACCTTTGTACTCTTATATTCCTTCCGGTAGTCTACTTGGGACTTTTTCTTTTTTCCTTTATATATCATTCAGATGCTTTCAGCGGGGGAGTTGGGGTTCGCCGTTTGATTTCTGAGAAGTTCAGCATGTCTATGGAGTATATACAGTAGTGATAGTCAGACATTGATACAACCGAAGGTACGGCGTCGCTTTGGAGTTGATAGATATCTATTAAGCATACTTGTAGCCTGCTATCCGCCTTAACCCAGCCCAATACTCACAATCTAAAAAAAAAAAAATTGTCTAGAGTAATAACTCCCCCTCTTGTAGTTGTCTGTACGGTAGTTCCGCGAGTTTTATATATAGGGAAAAACCGCGCTAAACCCGATCGGGCGGCAACGCAACGAACTACGCAACAACTTCAAGTTCAAACATCGCGGGCGTTCACACGATCAGACAGCGAGAACAAACAACCCAGGGAGGGCAGTTCTGCATTGATATTCACTGTTTCGAGGCTCTCTCTACGAGACAACAGGCTTCCGGAAGAAGCGCTCATCCTCACCTCATATTCTACAGAAGATGGCGGAGCCTCCAATCGGTACCTTATCCCCTCCTCATGCAACGATATATAGTTTCAGCTGCTAACTACGGCACATTCTAGTCCTCGATGGCGGAACGGGTTTCTTGAAAGTTGGATATGCCGCGCAGGTAGAAACCCCCGCGAGACACCATCCATTGATCTGGGAGAAGAGTGGTTGCTAATTGTATATCTCCCCGCATCACCAGAACTTCCCAGAACATCAGTTCCCCTCGATAGTCGGACGCCCAATCTTGCGAACGGAAGAACAGGCTGGTGACATAGTAGTCAAGGATATTATGTGTGGAGATGAGGCCGCTGCCGCCAGATCTATGCTTCAGATCTCCTACCCTGTACGAGCACAAACACCCGCCTCGGTTGTGATTACTGTTGCTGCCTGGTCCACCTCTAACATCTGGTTTGATTAGATGGAAAACGGAATTGTTAAGAACTGGGAAGATATGCAGCATCTATGGAACTTCACCTTTTATGACAAGATGAAGATTGATCCCACAGGCCGAAAGATCCTCTTGACTGAACCTCCAATGAACCCTCTTAGAAACCGAGAGAAGATGTGTGAGACCATGTTTGAAGGATACAACTTTGGCGGCGTATACGTTGCCATCCAGGCTGTCCTAGCGCTCTATGCCCAAGGTGTGCTTCCATATGCAATTCCTGCTCTGGTCATGGCCGAATGCTGATGCACTGTAATACTAGGACTGAGCAGCGGTGTCGTTGTGGATTCTGGTGATGGTGTAACTCACGTTATTCCGGTCTACGAGTCCACAGTCCTCAACCATTTGACCCGTCGTCTCGACGTTGCCGGTCGAGATGTCACCCGTAACCTTATTGCACTTCTCCTTCGTCGAGGCTATGCTCTCAACCGCACAGCGGACTTTGAAACCGTACGCCAAATTAAAGAGAAGCTTTGCTACGTCTCGTACGACTTGGAGCTGGACAAGCGCCTCTCTGAAGACACTACTGTGCTGGTGGAATCATACACTCTCCCCGATGGCCGAGTTATAAGGGTCGGAAGCGAACGCTTCGAGGCGCCCGAGTGTCTGTTCCAGCCACACCTTGTCGATGTTGACCAACCGGGTATTGCCGAACTATTATTTAACACCATACAAGCTGCCGACGTGGACGTGAGAAGCAGCTTGTACAAGGCTATTGTTCTTAGCGGCGGTAGTAGCATGTACCCTGGCCTACCGTCCCGATTAGAAAAGGAGTTGAAGCAGCTATGGTTGACCAGAAATCTACATGGCGACCCCGAGCGGCTAGACGTAAGACTGCATATATTCTTCCCCCAGTTTTGTTGATCGCTGGTTACTAACACCTAAATAGAAATTTAAACCGCGAATCGAAGATCCCCCACGAAGACGACATATGGTCTTCCTTGGAGGTGCGGTACTTGCAAATCTGGTAAGTGTAGACGCCGCCAATTGAAATTTTTAGAGTAATTCAAACTAACCAACTCTATAGCTCGCCGACAAGGACAACATGTGGATCTCAAAACAGGAATGGGAGGAACAGGGCCCGAGGGCCCTGGAGAAGTTGGGCCCTAGATAAACCAGCATATACAAAGACTAGACCTAGCTCTCCGGAGTACGTACTTTATGACCAAATTAAAATATAGCCTCGCTTGCCTTCTCATGGACTAGTATTTTCGTGTCGATTTAAACATCCCTCAATATCCAACATCAACCGTATTCAAATGCATGTTGTGTTGCCTCTTCCGCTTTTCTGTTGGGGCCAGCCACCGAGAAGAAAATACGTTACGGAGTAAACATTGTCGTCTTGGTGTTAGCAGTCTACAGGGACAATTTAGCATGGAAGAAATAGAGAGTTGAAAATATATTAGAATTCCACCCATAGTTTCCGGCTTCAGGAGCCAAGTAATCAACCATATAAACATGTTTCAAAAGTTATTTTTACAAGTGAATGAAAAAAAAGTCCAGAGACCGAGTGAAATCTATAATATGTCAATGTAAAAACGGATGAAGAAAACGCCAGGAAAAGGGGGAATAAGAGTGAGCCCTAAAATTATACGTCGCCCCTATCATGAGTTGGTAATTCATTCATCAGACTCGGAGTCTGGTCCTTCGTCTTCCATTCGCTTCCTTCGTTCCTCGTCTAGTTCACGGTATGTGCTCCAGCTTAAAAGCAGGAAGGCAACAGTGATCAAGATACCGCCAACGATAGATGTGAAACCGAGTGCTTTGTGATTGAATTTCCAATCAACGAGGGTAACCAGGAAAATGGTGAGAAGTGCTGCGACAGACGAGAGGACTGGGGAGGTGAGAGAGATAAGAACTAAGAATGATCCCGAGAAAGCTGGAGGATACTTAGTTAGTATACCCGTGGCAAAGATAATGGCAGAAGCGGGACTTATACTTACTGGCATTTGAGAGGGTGGATATGATAAGGAGCCACGCAGTTTCTCCCCGTGGCAGCTGGAAGGTTTCCAAACCAAGGAGATGGAAGATGGGTAGAGGAATCCAAAGAACGAGAAGTGTAAATAAACCGATCATGCTCCCGAAAGTATTTGCAAATATGACGCCGCGACCCGAGCTTGTCCCTTCCGGCGGGCAAGCAAACCGTTTAAACAAAACCTCGTACAGCCCATAAAGAACACTGCCAACGCCAATAATAATATTACCCAACGCCCTGTTAGATGCTTTGAGGGTCTCTGCGTCTCCCGCAGGGGCACCTTCCGGAGGACCACCGGGGCCGTATGCAATAATAATGACGCCAACGATAGCTACACCGACAGAAAAGACTTTATCGAATCGTAGTTTGTCATTGAGTAGCGGGATGGAGAATGCATAGGCAAAAAAGGCGGAACAATTGTAGATTGCAGTCAGGTCACTGCTGGTGGTCAGGTCAACGGCAACGTACCAGGATCCTCCTGCTATGGTGAGAGCCAATGCCACGAAGACTGTCGTCCTGACCATGTAAGGGACCGGAGACTTGTTCGACTGGCGGGTGGTGAGATGCAGTTCCTGAGTCTCAACCATCTGTGCCGTTGTCTGTAGGATATAGACATGTTTACGCCAGAATGCAGACCATGTGAGATGTCTCTTTTGAATTCGAAGAACAAGCAGCTGGACCGGCCATAGGAAAATCCACGAGCCATGTGTAAGGTAACTATATCATCGCCGGACAAACCATTAGCATCCTCGAGCCTTATACAGCTAATAGGAAGAAAGACGTAAAAGGTGTAACCATCGGGATTAAGGGAGGGAGGTACATAAAAAATAAAATAAGATGACAACTCACAGCATGCAATATGGTTTATTCCATCCCAATTCCTGCTGGATATAAACGGCAGTCTGGGTCTGCACTGTAAAGCTGATAAGACTGATGAACAATGCAAAGGCAGCAATAATATATTTCTTCCTTGTGGCATTCTTTGCTCCAAAATCCGGACTTTTGCTTCTAAAACTCGGCCGTGCTCGAGACAGAGATGGCCGTCCTTCTTCCATGCTGGCCGGGCCGATGCTCGCAGACCGTCCACGGCTATCGCCCTTCAAGAGCGGCACCTTGGATCGGCTCTCACCCGGACGCTGCATGCTGGGGCGTCCGATTGCCATGTCTCCATCCGAATCCTCCTCTGCTGAAGTGTAAGATGACTTGGTATGCCCGTCGTCGGCGGAAAAGAGCGTGGTAGACTTATTCGCCGGTTTCAACTCCCGCAGCCGAATGTCAGTGCTGGACGAGATATTGCTTGATCCTGCTGCTGCCGCTCGACGTCGAGAAAGCGAGCTGCGCCGTTCGGAAGTAGAACTGTTGAACTGGTCTTCGTCCCGTGGAGTGTGAGAATGATGAGCTGCCTGGCTAAAGCTTTGTGGTGACATCCATGCGGGCTCCTTCGAAAGGGAAACAGATCTCCTGTCGACTCTCTTTTTGTAGGTCTGTCTCTTGGGCACTCGGCTTTGCCCTGTCCGTCTCTTGTCTTCGCTTGATAGGCTGCTGGCCTTGCGGCTCACGTCCGGTCGTGAAGCACCAGTAACATCGGATGGTTGCGCAGAACAGCCAACGGGCCAAATTAATTGCAGTGTGCCTCCGGCGTATGGGAGGCAGGCGGAACGTAGCACGCGTGATGCTGATATAGCAGTATAGTATTCAGTTGCAGAGACACATGAGCATCCTCCCTTTCTGCTTCCGTCCTTTCTCAGCGTCTTCCGTGTCCTTTTTGTGACAGTTGACGATGACGGAAATACGAAATTTGAAGGAGTTTCGCCCCCTTTTTGCTTAGTAAGTCTACGTGTCTCCAAGCGCAATTAAAGAGCAAAGAAAGCGCATTCTCTTCGCTAGTTCTATGATAGCTGAGCAAGAGTGTCTGCCTGGCTTGCTTCCCCCTCTCTGTCTATAGTTGGTCCTGTTCCTGTTGAGGCCGTTGGCTTGTCATGCCGCTGCTGTATGTGTCTGGTTGACCGCGTGGTGGGCCGCATGGTTGAGAGGTACTGCTCAGGAGACACTGGCCATCACCAGGCCAGCAGCGGTCAGGGGCTCGCCAGACCCCCCGTTATTTTATAGCGACCATGACAGCAAATATAGACGTCTATAGGTCTATATAACTGCGACCGTGGATAGTGCCCTCGCACAGGGGCTAGCTATGGCGTCCAATAAGGGTAACCAAGCACTTGGCCAGGGGACATCGCAGACACGTTACACCCGCCACCAGGAAGCAGGATACTGACTGGCACAAAGTATGGATACGTGAGACTCGTACTCCATTGAGCAAGTCGTAGTTATCGGACAACGAGCAGCCTCCTGCTTTTGTCCTCCTATCTTCCGGCCTGGGGCTGTGCCTTTGAGTACTTATGGACTGCCTGTGAGGGAATGACGTCACTCCAGCTATATCGCTGCTGCAGCGCCCTCATACATATCATATAGCTAGTTAACTGCTTAACGTCCGTTCGACCGTCAATATTGCGCAATATATAGTCAACAGCATCCCCAGAAGGTACCACCATTCGTGGTTGACAGATTCGGAGAGTGCTTTGTCTCAGGTCGACGTCCTGATACTGAGAGATCGCTACGACCAATTCTTTAGCAAGGAGCTCTTGCGAAAGCCAAAGAACTAAATACATAATAACAATTAGTAATTCATTCGAGCAACGGCGAACTTCGAATAAACCAGAACTCAGGCAGAGTATATAGCCGCGGCAAAGGTTATAAAACACCCCGCCTTTCCTCAATATCCATCCCCTATCGAAAGGGCCGTCAAGTTAAAACACCTACTGAACAACAGCCAACCCAACCACAGCCATGTTGGTAGTACCGGAAGTTCCCCGGGTGATCCTGGGGCTCATGACATTTGGCCCTGATGAGAAGGCTATGGCCCGGATAACAAGCATCGACGAGTTCAAGAAATGTCTCGATCTCTTCATGAGCAAAGGGCACTTCGAAGTCGACACTGCACGGGTGTACGTTGATGGGAAACAGGAAGCTTTCACTGCCCAGGCTGGCTGGAAAGATCGCGGCCTCACGCTGGCGACGAAATGGTATCCTCGGACTCCTGGTGATCACAAGGGGGAGAAGGTCCGGGCCAAACTCGAGGAGTCCCTGAGGGAACTGCAGACGGACTGCGTTGACATCTTCTATCTTCATGCTGCTGACCGATCTGTGCCATTTGCAGAAACGCTGGAGGCAGTCAATCAACTGCACAAGGAAGGAAAATTTGTCCGGCTTGGATTGAGCAATTACACAGCTTTCGAGGTAGCGGAGATAGTTACGATGTGCAACGAGCGAGGATGGGTGCGGCCGACAATCTACCAGGGCATGTATAATGCTATCAGTAAGTGGCTCGCTCACACCCCATGATAAGACTGATCTTCAAGGTGAAAACTAATTATTTGCTTCCTGCAACACAGCCCGGTCCATTGAAGCTGAGCTAATACCCTGCTGCAAGCGATATGGGATGGACATTGTTGTCTACAACCCGCTAGCCGGCGGAATTCTGTCAGGCAAGTATAAAACGGCAGACGTCCCGGCAGACGGCCGCTACAGCAATACTCATTCGGGCGGAGAGCTGTACCGACGCAGATATTTCAAGGATGCCACATTCGATGCCCTGAAGATTATCGAGCCGGTGGCGGAAAAGCACAAGCTAAGTCTTGTCGAGATTGCATTCCGCTGGATGCTGCACCATTCTGCTCTGAACATCAAAGAAGGCAAAGACGGAGTTATTATAGGCGTGAGTAGCTATGAACAGCTTGAGCAGAACCTGGATGACCTAGAGAAAGGCCCGCTTCCGGATGAAGTTGTTGCTGCGCTCGACGAGGCTTGGATGGTTGCGAAGGCTACCACAGCGAATTATTGGCATCTGGACCTGAAATATACCTATGACACACAGGCAGCTCTGTTCAAACCAAAGGAGAGTGCGTAATAATAATTTAGCTAAGTAGTTAGTTGTTAGCCCGTCCACATTCGAATGCAACTAGTTCCATGGATAGCTGTTTATTTTGCTCGCGTGTGTTGTATTTCTCTATCGGGTCTCAAGTGGGCCGAAACCACTCCGCTGGCCAGCTCGGCAGTGGGTTTGGTCGTTATCTATGGAGTTTCGGTCAGAGATAGGCCACGATCCGATGGAACAGGCACATATTTCAGGGTCTCGACCGTCGAGTATCCATCAGATTGTTTCTCTCGTCTTGATAAACGGATTCTTTTTCTTTTTCTTTTTTTTTTTGTTGTATAGGGGTTGGAAAATGGAGCAAGACAAGCACCGGTACCGGTTCCTCATAATCAACCCAAACACATCAGCTCATATGACCGATGCCATTAAACCGATAGTCAACGGGGTAAATTTCAGGGGTAAATCGGCTGCCGAAATCTATAGTGGAGGAAGCGAGCTCTCGGGAGAACTCTCGGCGGTTCGATTTGACTATTTTACAGCCCCCACGGAGCCCACTGTCTCAAAAGAAGGGAATATCCTGGAAGGCATACCGAGTATCAATAATGGGAGGCAATCAGCCCTGTCTGCCGAGCACTGTTTCCCGCATCTCCGGGAGTTGGTAGGGGAGTATGACGCCTTCTTGGTCGCCTGCTACTCTCCTCATCCACTGGTTTCTATGCTGAGGAGAGCAATTGGCGAGCGTAACGAGAAGCTCCAACGCGAATCTACCGATGGAAAAGCATCTTTCCAAAGACGGCGACAGTATGTGACTGGAATAATGGATGCGAGCGTGGAGATGAGCGCATATTTCGCGGGTTTAAACAGCGCGGGCCTCGCTGAGCAGCACGCTCCAGGCAAATTTGGAATCGTCACCACGGCAGATGAGTGGAAGGAAGAGCTTGACATAGCGGCGAGGGAGATGCTACAGTCCCGTGGAAGTGATCCTGATTTGATATTCGCGGGTGTCGAGACAACGGGGCTCACGGCTGGCGAATTGCACAGCGCTCCAGCAGAGCTGGTCAGGTCCCGCATCAAGAGCGCGACGGAACGGCTGAAGGACAGCGCAGGCCCGTCGCTGCGGGTGGTTTCTATGGGGTGCGCAGCCATGGCAGGGATGGAAGAAGCTGTTCTTGAGGGCTTCGGCGAGAGTCAGGGAGTTGTTGTAGTCGATGGAACCGCTGCTGGCGTTGCTGTCTTGCTCGCGCAGTGTAAGGCCGGTAGTAGCTAGCCAGCCAATAATCGCATATTCAGCATTCTAGTCATATAAAAGTCAGTAGTCTCTGTCAATATAGTCGCTGTAGTGAGTGAATAATAGCCATCTTCATCGAATAGTCCGTCGTACAGCGTGGTGGTTTGCTTGGGTTGACGTTGTTGCTTGCCCGCAGGTTAAAACCGCCGGCGCGTCGCGTTTCTCCAGCGAAAAACCACAACCGCAGAGCGATGTAATCAACAGCAATGCCCAGGTACGCTCTTCAGGCGATGGATTTCGGTCTTATTATGAACAATATACTGACATTTCTGGTCTCTGCAGGGAAATAATCACTATCCAGGCTGGCCAGTGTGGCAATAACAGTATGTTCGGCCGTTAAAAGCCCCCCGTTCGACCCCTCTCCAGGCCCCCCAAATGCCCCCCCGACGACACCGTACAAGCCCGATAGAAGGATGCGCTGCTGTCTAGAGACTGGATACGCCTTTTATACTGCGCTGTTCAAGCTGATATCTTCTGATATTTGGGGTTGTGTGACTTCTAACATGGGTTACTTGCAGTTGGGACGCAGTTCTGGCAGCAACTCTGCCTGGAGCACGGTATCAACCAGGATGGAAATCTAGAGGAGTTTGCTACAGAGGGAGGCGACCGCAAAGACGTGTTTTTCTACCAGGTATTTACTCTGTCGGACGAAGGATGCGGTGGTTTCTACGGATAACATTGCTAAGGGACGGTCTACATAGAGTGACGATACTCGCTATATTCCCAGAGCCATATTAATCGATCTTGAGCCGAGAGTACGTCCTGACTGAGACGACGGGTTATCCTAATGGGTATAATATCGAAGGAGCCTGGCTAACTGCTATGTAGGTCCTCAGCGCGATCCAGAATGGCCCGTACAGCAACATATACAACCCAGAGAACTTCTTTATAGGCAAAGATGGCAGTGGTGCGGGCAACAATTGGGCAGCTGGTTATGCCACAGGCGACACGGTGCAGGAGGAGATATTTGACATGATTGACCGAGAAGCAGATGGCAGTGACTCGCTGGAGGTAAGTGATATCGAACTTGGCGGGGTGGTTCGGATGGTATAGCTAACTCTGCCAGGGTTTCATGCTTCTTCACTCCATTGCAGGTGGAACAGGTTCTGGCCTCGGAAGTTATATTCTCGAGCGAATGAACGACCGATTTCCAAAGAAACTGATCCAGACATACTCCGTCTTCCCTGACACGCAGGCTGCAGATGTTGTCGTCAACCCGTATAACAGCCTGTTGACTATGAGAAGGCTTACGCAAAATGCAGATTCAGTCGTAAGTTTGCAACGGCCTATCAACAGCTATCTCAAAATGCAGACACGGCATCAGACAGGCAACTAACAGCGGGATGCATGGCTTAGGTTGTGCTGGACAATGGAGCACTCTCCAGAATTGCGGCAGACAGGCTCCACGTGCAAGAGCCGTCATTCCAACAGACGAACCAGCTGGTGAACCTCTCTTACGCCTGACGAAACCGCTCGCCAGGATAAATATTTACTTCCGGCTAGCTAACCCATGCATTAGGTTTCCACAGTCATGTCCGCTTCAACAACTACCCTTCGGTATCCAGGTTATATGCATAACGACCTTGTTAGCGTGATAGCATCTCTCATTCCAATCCCGCGTGCGCACTTCCTGATTACTTCATACACGCCATTCACCGGCGATCAGGTTGAGCAGGCCAAGACTGTGCGGAAGACGACGGTGCTGGACGTGATGCGCAGGCTACTCCAGCCTAAGAACCGCATGATGTCAATAACACCCGGTAAATCAAGCTGCTATATCAGCATCCTTAACATTATCCAGGGCGAGGCGGACCAGACCGATGTCCACAAGTCAGTTTTGCGCATCCGGGAGAGGCATCTGGCCTCGTTCATACCCTGGGGCCCAGCAAGCATACAGGTAGCTATCCCAAAGAAATCACCTTATCTCCAGAACACGCACCGAGTCAGTGGCTTGATGCTGGCCAATCACACCTCAGTGGCGACATTATTCAAACGGATCGTTAGCCAGTACGATCGCCTGCGGAAACGCAACGCCTTTTTGGAGCAGTACAAAAAGGAAGCTCCCTTTGCGGACGGGCTAGGTGAGTTTGACGAAGCGCGAGAAGTGGTTATGGACCTCGTCGCTGAATACGAAGCTGCGGAGAGACCTGATTATCTTGGGGGAGGGGCTGAGGGAGATCATGGAGATGAGGGATAAATTAAAAAAAAAAAAAAAACAAAGCCCGAACAAAACAAAGACGAAGACGAAGAAACAATTCTCGAAGATCTTAACTAATGGAAATGGCATCTCTCTTTCTCCAACCAAGCCTCCCTGCTCTTTGGCCAATTTCAAAGCCGCCTGTTAAGTCCGGGATGGCGGGATGTATAACTACAACCCTCCCCATACAAACTGATGTATACTCTACGCCGTAAAAGGGAAGAGGACGACGATTGTCGGGGGTCCTGGGGGTAAAACACACGGCATCTAGAGCCCACAGTATCAGTCAGCGCGCCCTCCACTCTCAACCCGGCTTGCTGTGTGGTGGTTGGCTCAGGGGCACGAGCAAGTGTCCACCACGCAGTCCAGCTGGGCAGCGATGTCCATGCCTGAGCCCCCTATCCTCTTCCCCGTCAACCCACAATCTCCACGGAGTCCATCTCATCTCCCATCGCCCTGGCCTCTCACCCCATAACACGTCCTCTATCACAAACACTGCAGCTTTACTAATATATTTAATATTGTTGGGCGCTGCTCGCCTTGTGTTGTCGTCGTCGTCGCCAACCTCGCCTAACGTCGCCTTATGCACGAAAACTCTTCAGCCAAGCAAAAAGCTTATCTTGGCCTTCCCGCTCGGCAAGGCGCTTCCGAGCCGCGGCCGCCTTTATTTCTGCCGCAGGAAGAAGCTTCTATCAAACTTCTGTACATGCAGTGTACAAAGCGACTTCTGCGCAGGGTGCAAATGTGAAGCTATACAGATGCGTAGACGTGCTGTTGTGATGGTGTGGCTATAACCACGCTGTGCTATGCGGAGACAACCACCTGGGGAAGACAAGGCCCGCTTCGCTCCACACGTCTCTGACATATATTATTCGAGAAGGGTGCAATACTGTTGCAGCGCCCCACGGAGACGGTGGAGCGATGGTACAGTTGTTGGTCAGCCCTGGTTGCATCAGGACGTCAGCGTCCGGAGCAGATCGTCGCCTTGCTCACAGCAGCTCCACTCCTGGAGGTAATCCCGATTGATCCCAGGGCATGGTAAGCCAGTTGCCTAGTACAGCTATTGGGTGCGTTTTGTGCCCCCTGCCAGATGACAGGTTGATCGGCTCTTCTTCGTGCCTTCTACGATTGTTCTCCGGAGCGTCCGGGGAACGGGAGAGTGGAATTAACACCGCAGACGAACCTGATCCAACATGATCCTTGGAAAAAGGAGCGAACGCTGGATAGTGGATTCGCCTAGGAGCCAGGCCCGCATGATGCTCGACCAAAGTCGACTTAGACTGGCCAGCGCCGCCAGCCATCTACATCATTCACTCCAAACTAGCCGGGAGGGGGATGGCTCGTTGTACCTTCCCATAACTTTCTTGTTGTGCGTGGCGACGGAGAACCGGGGAAATTGAAAATTACCAAAACCCAAGAGCGGGAAAGCCTGTTAGCCTGTTGCCGCTTGGGCAAGAGTGGATGATTCAATAAAAGGCTGAGCATGTCGACATCTTTCCCATTCCTCTTCTTCTTGACTCTCTCATCTTCTTACCGTGGCCGGTCTGCACCTCTTTTGACATACCCTCAACCGACCACTTTCTCCATTTGTTGCAGACGCACGGCCACCACTCTCCCGTTCACACTGACAGAGCTCTCTCTCTCTCTCTCCCTTTCTCTCTTTACACCGAACCCGCACAGAGGGAAAGGATAGACAGGACAGGGCATACACACCGTCGCCATGTCGACAGACCAGAAATCGGAGGAGAAGATCAATCAGGATATCTCCCTCCGTAACAACAACATCGATGAAGAGCAGAATGAGATCTCAAAAGATCTCCCAGCCTACCAAAATGATCCTTTTGGAGATGAAGAATTTTCAGACGTCAAGTATAAGGTCATGACGTGGTGGTAAGTAGCTAGCTACCTATGATGACTCTTTTTAACTAGTCTGATCGCTAACGACCTATCCAGGCAATGTGGAATGAGTATGAACTCCCGGTGTTGGGTTGGACCGCCTTCTATTGATAGCTAACAATGCCCTAGTTATGATTGCTGAGACGATATCTCTTGGAATTCTCTCCCTACCCTCCGCCGTCGCTGCGCTGGGTATTGTCCCGTAAGCATCACGCTCATTATTGTAGCTCTTAAAAAACCATACTAACGTGTCTCTACTTGCTATACAGTGCTATAGTCATTATAATAAGTCTCGGCCTCCTTGCCACATACACCGGATATGTAATCGGCCAGTTTAAGATGAGATATCCTCATGTCCACAACATGGCGGATGCCGGTGAGGTCCTCATGGGCCCTATCGGGCGAGAAATCTTGGGAGCTGCCCAGTTACTCTTCCTGGTCTTCATTATGGGAAGTCATATCCTAACCTTCATCGTCATGATGAACACCCTGACCGATCATGGAACATGCAGCATTGTCTTCGGAGTCGCCGGAATGATCCTTTCTTTAGTCCTTGCGCTTCCGCGAACCTTGAAGAACGTGTCTTGGCTGTCGATATCATGTACGTTTTTATCTGCTCATGTGCTTCTCTCTATCACCAGCCCACTGACTGTCCTCTAGCTTTCATCAGTATCCTGGCTGCCGTGTTCGTCACTATGATTGGAATCGCTATTCAGCATCCTGGAAAGGCAGTTGAAATCACCGTCAAGAGCGATCTTTACCACGCCTTTTTGGCTGTCAGCAATATTGTTTTTGCATATGGTACGTTCCATAAGAGTACTTGATGCTTTGTGTTGTGATCCAAGCTAATAAAATGTGCAGCTGGTCATGTGGCCTTCTTCGGGTTCATTTCTGAGTTGAAGGAGCCTGCTGGCTACCCCAAGGCTCTTTACCTCCTTCAGGGAAGCAATACGACCCTATACACTGTCAGTGCTATTGTTATCTATATCTACGGCGGAAAGGATGTTGCTTCCCCCGCCCTCGGCTCTACGGGACCAATCCTACGAAAAGTTGCATATGGAGTCGCTATGCCAACAGTATGTCGCAATAGCCTGAATTTCCTCCACTATTACTGATTGCTGACACACAATTCTGTAGATTGTCATTGCTGGTGTGATCAACGGTCACGTCGCTAGCAAGTATCTTTACGTCCGAATCTTCCGTGGAACCAACAAGATGTCACAGCGAACCTTCCTCTCCCTTGGTACCTGGGTCGCTATTACCGTTGTTCTCTGGGTTATCGCCTGGATCATTGCCGAAGCTATCCCTGTCTTCAACAACCTTCTTAGTTTGATCACTGCTCTTTTCGCCAGTTGGTTCACTTGTGAGTTCCTCCCCATCCAGCTTAACCATCTAGCTCAACAATATGAGAGTAAGCAGCTAATAATGGATTTAACAGATGGCCTTAGCGGCTTGTTCTGGCTATACATCAACAAGGGCAAATACTTCTCCTCCCCACGCAAAATCTTCCTCACTTTCCTCAACTCCTTTGTTTTCGTCGCTGGTGCGACAATTGTAAGTGTTAAGTCACGAATCCAGAAGCCGGTCTAGATGTTAGTACTAATAATGTGTTAAATAGTGCGGACTTGGTCTGTATGTGTCCGGCAAAGCGCTTCATGATAGCCCGGCCGGCGCCAGTTTCTCATGTGCAAGCAACGTTGAATATTAGAAAGGTTAGAAAGAGCCATGAAACATTCGGCAGATTTGATTTTATACCACTATTTGATGAATTATGTTCCGCGAGTCATTTAGATATTAGATCGTTCATTGAGGTGCTTGGTCCACCTGTCGAGAGACAGTTCGTTTTCTAGCGTGTCTGGAGCAATCATGTTATGTTTAATTTTCGATGTACAAATACTATGGTGCGAGATATCAATAAATCAATCCTCGAACGATGAAATCTTCTAAAAATTCATCCCACAGCGCAACTTCCAAAGACATTGATGAGTACCAAGGTCGTGGCTGTCAAACACGATGAGGAGAAAATGATAACGTATTCTTAGGAAGCTCAGAGACCGAATCGAGGATTAAGATTAAATAGCTATGTAGAAAATGAAGCCCATAAACGAGTGACTGGTTTGTTACATTTGCAACACACAGAAATAAAAGGGAAAGTGAGGTATAATATGACAAGGGACATTAGTCCCATTGTGACTTGAATGAAAGGGCGCGCCGTCTATCCGCTCTCACTGTCTTCCTGTTCAGCGGGCTTCTCAGCCTCCTCGGGGATATAGAGACATTTGATGCTCTTAGTTTGACGGCCATCATGCTTAAAGGCATCTGGAACACTGCGAGAAGAGACGATAGAAGTGCTGGTTTCGCAGTTTTCATCGCTGGCTGGTTGTTAGTGTTTGTTTGGAGGGGGCTAGACTATTCATGGGATATTGTAGTAAGACGTACGAATAGAACTGGCACAGGGCGCCGCGGGGCAACTTCACGGATCCCACGGAGGTAACGCTATGGAATAATATATGTTAGTAAATTGACTATGCTGTCAATAGGGAGACCACGGCGATATCCAAGCTTTTCGGGGGTCATACAATGGATCAGCCAGAGGGTTACACTCGGAATCAATCGGGAGTTCCTTGCGACGGCCATTGAACCCGGTCAGGCTGTAGATAGCAGCCTGCAGAACGAGGGTTAGCACACTGTCAATTTTGAGAGTATATATTGATAATAGCTTACATTGACGTTGCAGGTGTCTGTGGTGGGCGTTGGACCGGCACTGACGAGAGCAACGCTCGTAGCCATAGCGAGGGCAATGAAGTGAGAGAAGAACATTTTTAAAATGCTTATGTAGGGAGCGGATGTTTAAACTGTGTCTAAACCAAGTTTCTGAAGGGGGGTTTCTTCTCTGGGAGGAATATTGGCTGTTGACCCGTGTCTTGTGCTGATGTATAAAGAACAGATCAGGAGGTAAGAACGAGGTATTTATATTGAATCGATCTGGCTTCTGAGATATCTTCTTAATCGAAAAAGGGGCTTCCGCTGACATCTCAGTTAATCCGTGAAACTGTGACTATGTAAATGCAGGTACAGATACCAATATCAACATATTGGCTGTTCTCTGTGCGTCGCAGTTGACACAATATGGTAAGTGGCATTGCTGTTCCAAACACATCATCGCACGGAAGACAGCGTTCCACTGCAGTTTAGCTTGATCAAAACCACAGCTAGCTGTCTGGAGATTCAGTGTGTTCTCAGGTGGTTGTTAGGGTATTGAGTGTGGCTATCCCGGTCAACAGTCAAACCACAATATCCTAAGAGTACTATTGATCCTTTACTGAGGCTTTTGAGTATATTGATATGCATTCCACTGGATCCAATGGAGCACAAACTTGTTGCAGTTAATGCCTGGCAGCATTAAGTTGGCTATCTATTAGACAAGGATTTACCTCTCAAGTCGGTGCATTAGGCTGTAAGCAAGACTTCGTTATTGTGTTAAATATGAGTTAGAAGAGGTCCCAGGTTTTGCTGTAAGATCCATTTCTGCACAGATAAGCTATTCCTGAACACGGTCCCTCGCAAGCCAACTAATGAGTTTATAATGGTTGAAAGTCATTTTCCTATGTTAATCCCAAGCTGCATTGTAGTTTTGATAGAAAGAAGCCCTCAAGGTAAACTGTTTCCACGCCTTAAAAAGGGGCTGTGAGATGGGCACAGCGTCGAGATGTTGAGTAACGTGACTCTGGTAAGTTCTGTCCGACATGTACCAGAGAAGTAGAACATGTTCTCCTTGAACACCAGAGGACCGACCTAGTTGCGCCACAGTATTGTACAGTTGTAATACTGGCTGGTTCGATTATGAAGGAATTTCCTGTCAATTTTTCCTGTTACTGGGCACATTGTAGAGGCCGAGAAAATAGGGTTAGTTGCCTCTCCTGAACATTAAGCAACAAAGTGTACAGAGAACCGGGGCATGAAGTTTCCTCTAAGATTGGTAGGCTAAGCAGACATCCTTTCATGGTGTTGCCGGGTAGATTAACCGCGTTGGATATCATCATCAGGCTTTGGGGATGCCGTGTCCAAGAAAAAACCTGCTGTTCAGCGCTAACCACAAACGAGTTGTGATTTAGATAGCCTAGTCTAATTTTTGTATTCTGCATTCTTCGCCTCTATGTAGTCTTGAGGCGTACTAAGCCAGTCCAGGCCAGGTGAACATTCTCCCGAAAGGTGGTTGCTTGAGAAAATGAGGCAAGGGACAAAAAACTGGAGACATAGAGCTGTCTAGGCTCTGTTATACTCTGAGAAGACATCGCCTTTGGTGGCGACTGAGAGGAACATTGGGATGTTCTCGATATATTATTTCCGTGTGTGCGAACTCAGCAGAGCAAATATGCTGCATGAAAAGAGGACCAGGGCATCTCTCGAGTTCATTCTCAACTCCGGTATAAGCCATAACATCCCTAATAGTATATCTCGATATATAAGACAGATATATAGATCAAAAGGTAGTAGCCATGACGTTGATACAAAGTAGACCGCAGCGATGAAGAGATAGAGTGTGCGTGTGGAGACAAGCCATGACGTCTGTAGATCAAGCATCACGTGAAACGGGGAACATGCGGCGCCGTATAAGAACGAGCCGGAAGACGAAGGCCCCCCCCGCCTTGATGGAAAAGCACCGTATACCTGTACTCACACTGTTGCAGAAGAGAAAACGGAACTAGTATACGACTACGGTGAGTGTATGGCCCGAGACTCCTAGTGGGACGTCTAGTGCGGAAAGGTAGAGTAGCAGAAGCTGACGGCAGAGCGTGTCTAGATAGCTGAGATACCACTATAAACAAAACCGACATTATGGACAAGGTCACCGAACAGATGAAGGGCTCCCAGCAGCCTGGTGAGATATTTCCCCCTAAACACGCCCTGCATGCTACTAGATGGCAAAAGAATATCGATCTCGGATCTACCTGGCCAGATATCTAGGCTAACCCGCATCTCAATATGTAGGAGACGCCAAGAACACTGCCAAAAAGTTCACCGATCAAGGTCAGGGCAAGGTTGATGAGCTCAAGCAGAAGGGCCAGGAGGCTACTCAATCTGTCAAGGATGCCGCATCCAATGTCACAGGTAGTGTACCAGGCGGTTCGTCCCCCAACCAGTTCTGGTTTTTCTTTTATCGCTTCATGTTGTCATTGTTCGCGCATGTGCTAACCCGACTGACTTCTTGCAGCCAAGTAAAATGACGTCCAGGGCTTCCTTAGGAAACAATCCCGTGGAACTGGCGAGTTGACAATCTTATGGTACCGAATTTGGATGGGCATAGCTTAGGTCAAAAGGAACACGGAATTGTGGCCAAATTTTGTAATAGTCGTGGATAATGTCGAATAAATTCAATCAGACACTCATTTGATAGGGTATCGTGCCTTTGTGTTTGCTTAAAGCACGGCCGGGATCATAAAAAGTAGCCCCTTATCGCTGTCAAGAAATATCACGTAACATGGTGACAGGCCAATATAAGAGGCGTCTGGTTTTGAAAAACAAGACAACTTCCCTTCTCATTGCCTTGCATGTACCGATACTCGAGCACCAGCCCCTCCAGCTGTAGCAGAGACGTCGTGGACGACACATAGGAGATACTTGCGATCTGGTATTATAAATATTTCGTGTATCTTTGTCCTTAACCGCAAAAGCTTTAATTCGTCATCTTCCTCGCGTTCCGGCGGTGTCTGGTCTTCAAATGGATTACCGCCAGCTGGCTCACTGTCTTTATTTGGACTCTTCTTCTTCTCATTTTCTGCTCCATGGTCGTCTTCATTATCTGCCGGTGAAGATAGAGCGGTACTCAAGGATGATGCGGACGAAACGAATGCGTGTATGTGTACAGCGAGTGTCTCCGCTGGACTAGGTTTATACGGCACTGCATCCCTTGTGGGCTGAACAGCTACAGGGCTGCTGGCCGCCTCCGAGAGTTCACCATCTTGGTCCGTTATTGACGAAGGTGTTGCCGCCTCTGCTGATGGGGCGGAAGTCGGTGACGTTGCATTTGTTGTGCTCGGCGCCGCCAGAAGGCCTGTTGTCTGTATTATCGAGCCATCCTTGCGCGAAAGTATCAATGTCGACTGTACCCCGGGCCGTGATGTGAGATGAGACAATTGAGCAGCTACGTGCTGGGGAACCTCTGGCAGCTTTGATAACTAGCAGTTAATATGGCATGCAAGCGAGAATAGGGGACATGATCTCCACGAACCGGGTTCCGTTCACTCATCGTTAGATCTTCTAGCAAGAGACCAATTATCTTCTAAATAGATGTCCGAGAAGTCCCGTGTTTCAGAGCTGGACGGGCAAATAAACAAAAACAACCCTTGTATCGAGAGATATCTGGTCTTGCTTTGTCTTTGCTCGTCTTGCGATGCCCTCTTGTTGTTAGGTTGTTCTGCAGTTTAACCTTTCTTGATGACTAAGCGGAGATAGCGGGAAGCCAAGCCTGATAAGAACGACGCTTTTACTTTTTTTTTTTTAGACACGACATCGACGGATTTCTCCAGCGACCACGTTCCATTTGAAGTGCGGGAACTGTTTCTTATACCTGGTCTCCCAGTCATTGATATATCTTGAGCTGCGGAATTGTTACCAGCTGCTTGACTCACGGCAGTCGGGCAGCAATGGGCTCTAGTCAGAAAAAGAAAAACGAAAAGAAAAAGGATTTCCAGGTAAATATGCGCGCAAGCAACGAATATGAGATGAGGTACCCTATAGCGCTCAGGTAATTAACTGTTCATAGAAAACGAAGCTTAAGGTTGGCAAGAAAAAGGCCGCTCCGTCGAATTTTACGAATACAAGCTTCAAATCGAAAGGTAAGCTTGCCTAAAAGACCTTGTGTTTAGTGTGGAGGAGAGATGGGCAGAGCTGACTTATTACATCACTATTCAGCAATCGTTTTAAATCAGCAGTCACTTTCAACCAGTGCGCCGTCTGAATCATCCCAATTTACCCATTCGCTGTCCTTATTAGGCTCCAAGACCGATACCCAGCGCAAGGAATCCTTGTCTCATCTCACTACCGCTATCTCATCGAGGCCCGTTGATTCACCACTTCCCCGGCCAGTAGGAGTTATCCTGCCGCTGTTATTCCCTTTAATTCTGGATGGCAATAATGGAGTGCGAGCCCAGCTTCTTAAGTTGTTGAAGGTTCTTCCCCGAGCTGATTTGGAAGGTCATGCATCTACATTTTTACCTTACCTTCGAGCTGGCATGACACACTTGGCGGCGGATATCAGGCTATCATCTGTGGAAATTCTCTCCTGGCTGCTCTCTGTTGCTGGACAGGAACTAGTATCTGCAGCAGGGGGATGGGTTAAAACGCTGAATTGCTTCCTTTCACTACTTGGATGGCATACCGAGACCTCAACAAAATGGTCTTCTAATAAAACTTCATTTGGGAAATCTGGAAGCGAGGGAAAGCTAACAGCAAGGGTACTACAAATATTTGCTGAGTTCCTGCAGGCAGGGATCGGCAAGCCTGATGAGCAGAGTACATTGAAAGAGGGACAAGGAGTTAATGATAGTCAGGCTTGTTTCCCTCTCCGTCATGTTCAATATCACCTTCTCCCGACAAGGTCATCTCCGTTTGCCTACCTTGACCTATTCGGCAGTATCAAAAGCGAGGAAGCGGATATGTATGAATCTCGTGAAGATCGACTAAGAGTTTTTACACAGATTTTCCACCTCCCGGTTCAGCGGGGTCTTGATGCTGCCAGACAGGATGGAGGTGAGATCGGTCGAGTTTCCGCCGCAGCCAGGAAGGTACTTCGAGACTGTAACTTGTCCATTAAATCGTGAGCCGAGCTGTTCTGGACCTATCTTAGGTTGGAGCTATCAGACGGCTTTACAGCTGCTTGGTAGATATTAATGCTGGTAACACCTACCAACTAACCAGGGCTCCCAAGGATGGACATGAGCAGGTACTGGGATTCAGAGGGGGGGAAAGAACCTGGATATACCATCTCTGTCATGCGGCTAGTTCCGTGGGACAAATAGCTACATGCCTGCAAAGTAGGTGAAAGGCTATTGCCAGGGACCGCTTACCCTGACCGAAGTATGAAGAACATATGCTCCATATATCCTGCTATCCTTAGCCAATATACATGGCGTAAGGACTAAGGACCTCTATAAAACATTCTACCATGGGTTACCCCGATAGCAATATGTCAACAGACATGATGCTTCTATATTAATGCACTCTATTTCAACATCTCTTTGTTACCACTACTACCTCTATTTGGGGAGTTACTCTTTTAATTTCCTCTGAGCCATAGATTCATTATCTATTAACTATCAATCAATGATAGAAGTGATGCCTAAAGATTCACATAACTCAATGATAACAGAGCCCTATATACAACAGCAACAACTAGCATGCTACAATAATAAATAGGTGAGTCTATCAAACCTCCTTTCTTCCCCCCTGAGAGCCAAATTTTTCTAACGTTGATAATCGCAGAGTAGCTCCTGCTCTATGTTTTTGACGACAGAGCTTGTTGCTGGGAAACCACAAACAAAGCTTCACAATTTTCTTCTTCTTCCTCTCTTCTCTTCTGCTCTTCTGCTCTTCTTCTCCTTTCCCCACACAGATGGGCAGGCCGCCGCGTCGAATCCTGCCGCCAAAGGCCCTCTTTTTATTCTATTATCATTTGCTTTTATATTCATATGGTACAGAATCAAATTTAAGCAGCTCGTTAATCGACAACATTTCTACCCCCTTTATCCGTTATGGGAGATTCCGTGTTCAAAAAGCCGCTCCCGGTCAAGCGAGATCCGCAGGCGGCAGTCAGGATGGTCAGGATGCCGTCCGAGGAGACGGAAGACGAAGAGGAGACTCCGGTCAAAATGTGGTTCAACGTCATTTCATTATCTGCTCGTAAAAAGATCTGCGGCCCTTACAGGCTAAGGAGACTGTTTTTACATAGATCAGCCAATGATGTTTTGTTCCATGTTGCAGTTCCAGATATCCGCCCATTGTAGGTGCTATGGCGCGTCTTTCCACTCATTTGTCACTTTGCTGATAATATATCAATTCCAGGTCAGACGCCTTTATGGAAGCTACAGAGCCACTTCCATCTTCGACTATGGCTTCTCCTGATACACCAGGGCGATCGAGTTTATCTAGCGCCAGCACGGGGTTTACTTCACCAATAGACCAGGATTCACTGGCAGCCACGAAGGCTATGCCAGAAGCAAGCCCGGATACTGTGTCTGATATGTTGGGACAAATGCGTGATGGGGAGCTACTTCAGAAGAGGACAATACAGCAAACACGACTCGCAGCAGGTGCCCTCTCCCCAGCCAAGAGCGAACAGCCAAAACGCAAGAGGGAAGAAGAAAGCTCCTCTGACGACGACAGCTCGAGTGACAGGCGACCATCGAAGGTTTCCAAGTGTAGCGAGGACGACGTTCCCAGTCTTCAATCTCACTCATCGGATGGGTTTGAAAACTACCAGCCGCAGCTCGAGTATCTTCCCCTCAAGGTCTATCAACATATTCTTCAAAAGCTAGATTTGCTAGATATCATTCATCTTGGCCTCACATCGCGGTTCTTTCTTAGGATACTAGCGATATATCTCCAGTCGATTCTTACCATCAACCTAGGACAATTGGCAGGACAGAGTATCATATGTCTTGGAGACGTGACTGGCCAAAACGACTTCCCTCCTGTGGTATTTAACGACCCTCAGCTTAGAAGCATCTTCGCCCCACACTTGCATAAATTGGTCGACACTGATCACCCGACGCTGCCTGAGTTTTTACGTGAATGTCGTCCCCTCCTTTCGCATAGGCTTCGTACGCCTTCAGATTGTGGGTTTCTCGATTCAAAATGGTTCAACGACGAGTTTTACAAGCTTCCTATTACCGTTATCGGCCAGATGATTGAACTACTCTGCCCAACGGAAGGTGACTTTTACCCACCAGGTGCTGAATGGATACTCCGGAATATCACCACAAAAGAGTATGTTTACAAGCCGAAAAACGGACTGGGACTTGGCGATGTTATACTTTTCAAAGCATCCTGGGCCAGCCAACCACCTACGGGGATTCAAGTCAATGTCGGGGCGCCAGTACACCGAGGTGCATGGGCTGGTCACCGCTTCGAAATAGTGCAACTGGAGCATCATGAACGCGAAATGATGGCAGAGACGACGGCTGAAACGATTGCAGGTAGTTCAACTGAGAAACCTTGGACTGATGTGACCACCGAAGTCATCGATGAGCTCGAGGAGATGTGGGAATTTGAGTGCGGCTCCTGTTGGAAATCGCTTACCCGCCGGCCTGTGGGCTGAAGTAGCCAGAGTCGTTTCAGGTTATCAAACTCAACGAGTCCACTAAAGCTCTTTTGACTTATTTTTTCACTTTCTTTGACCGGAAATAGGATTGGGTTAGTCTTGTAACTTGCTTTGCGGTTTGGACACTAGTATTCAGGAGCTATCGCATTACAATTCAACCCGCCTCTTGACTTCAATATTCGTTAGGCCTGTGCTGCAATAGCAAGGGCGCCTCAGTAGATCGTAGCTATTAAATAAGAAGGAAAGCCAATCTAGTTACCACTCCAGGGAAGTGCCCTCGTACTAAAGCATATTAACGGGAGAGTCAAGGGATCATTTAAAATCTGCTGGTAGTAGATGAGGAGCGTATATACACCCTCAAAACAAAGCATGGTAATTCCGAGATGTCTTCCATTTGATACAGTAGTAATAAACAGGAGTTATACCGGGAAAAAGTATTGTAAGGGAAAAAAGCATGTAGAGAAATCTAACTATAGCATAACCTCCATTCACTCTCCTGGTAATTTGATATCAGCCCACCCTTTCTTCCCATCCTTGCTATTCTCCGGAACAGTCTTCCAAGCATCCATATCAAGCCAGCCTATTCTTGCTCTATCACCAAAGCCCCCCACCCAAAACGCCTTTTCAACAACTAGCCGTGCCCAGTATCCATTATGCGGAGATTTTGGTGACCCTGGGAGCCAGTATTTGGAGTCTGGGTGATTTTTGAGGAAGCACTGTTCGATTGCTTCCTTGTCCCCTTTAGATAAAGATGAGAGTTGAATCTCCTCAATGCGTCCGAGGAGTGAAAGGCGAGGAAGCCCAGCTGGCACACGATCTAGAGGATCTTCTCCCTCTGGCGGAATACGGGAGTGCTGCCACCAGTCAACTGATAGGGAAACCTTAGACCCAGCCTTTGCATTTCTAAACGTTGTGCCAATGTTCAGGGCAAGTAAAAGAGGATTTCCTCGTCCAAGAATATTCGTCAAGGCAACGTTGTTATCGTGGGCAGAGCAGTCGGCGATATAGTCGGGTAAACCAATAGGCGTTCCCTCGAGAGTGCCGTCCCTATAGCCTTTGGGGTAGACCGTGGAAAGGACAGCTGTAGAGGAGATAGCGAGCAAACGCCGTGCTAGTAGATGGGTTGTGGGCCAGTCTGGGATGGCTGTATCAGCTACAGACTCATCACCATCTTCATGTAGCTCGTTGTTGCTTTTTACACGAGGAGGAGCGAAGGGCGGGGAGTAGAAGGTATCTCCGTCAAAGTAGCCAACCCGTGTCTGTTCTGGTGCTTCGACATCAAACCGTGAGTCGGATCTGAATTTGATAGGTGAGGACGATCCCAGGGAGCCTAGGAGAATGGGTATGGTAATAAACGACCTCATTTTGTCGTAGAGGTAAACAACAGCTCGTGGTGTCTAGTAATACCAGGTTAAACAGAAAACTAGAGAAGTATAAACTAAAGCACAGATTTACTTTGGGTTAGGGATATGTTTCTTCTGTTTATTCGAGTGTTATGTGTTTGCTTCCCTTCAGTCGATTTCTTGTCAGAAGTGAAAGAGAAGCAAACAAAAGAGGTGACGTTGAATGTTGTTATTCAAAGAGGGGAGACACAGAAACCTCGGAAGTGGAAGGGGGATCCTTGGTACTTATCAGATCAAGATAAGATTACGCAGAGGATCAGATAAGATCACGCCACATGACAGTTAACGAGCGCCAAGAAAGCCAAGCTTTTCCAGCCTGCCTCGGCTTCTTTCTACTGCAAAAAATAACGACAACCGAAAAGGACAACCATTCAAATGAAAATATTGAACTAAAATAAAGAACATCAAGCAGCGAAGATGGATGAGGTGCGCGGGGGCAGAGCTATGGATAACACGTGGACTACTTGTTCACGGGGTACATATGTACGCAAGGTGGTGGACCAAGACAATGGAGGCAATTTAGCACTTTGCTGGGCTCGGTGAACTGGGCTTCCTATTTGTTAAATGGACATGCAGATGGCCCTTTGACGGGGAAATGGCTAACCCTGAGGTCTAACGAACATCACCGGGCTGCGTTTTGTCCACAGCCTGCATATCTAAGCTTGCCAGTGGCGACATGCAGCCCGTCTCACAAGCGTAGTCGTCGCCATCACCGCAACTTTCCGGTCATCGTGAGAGCAGATACTACAATAATGGTAACCAGAAGTATGATAATGCTGCAAATACCGAGAAAGGCAAGGACCGCAAGCCAAGCCATATCCGCCGCGTTGCCGTTCCAAGTGCGTCCTTCTTCGATTTCGCGCTCTCGAGCCTCATTTGCAGCTGGCTCTTGAGATCCTTGGTTGAAGTAGTCCGGCACTGGGGATTTGAATGTCATGCTTAGCTGAGCCTCGTTATCGTGAACCCTGATCCGAAACGATGAAAGGCGTTCCTCCGGATCGTTTATGTTAACCGTCAGGTGCTGGTGATGGGGCTGCGGATGCTCTGGCAGATTTACGTCTGCTGAAGGGGTTTTGAATGCGATAGACATCGATATGGAAGCTTCGTGGATGAGTTAGCTAACTGGTTGGTTACACGATGCACCCTTGAGTTCTTCAAGAAGCAGGTCTATCTTTTATAACGCGATAGTTACGAGAGCCACCAGTGACCCTCAGTGCTCATTCCTCTAGTGATCAAAAAGAATGGATTTCGACAGTCCTTCACCTATAAAGTCACATATGATTACTCGTTACTACTAAGCTGGTCACTCCTTGGGACTTGTAACTATAGTCGATGGATGATCATCTGTTTCGATCAATGAAGGGGATATCAATATTTCTACTTGGCAGTGAAAATGTGGGGCCCTTTGGATCTTGATGGTTCGCTCCATCGGATTTTAAAGTTTTGTGCCTGGCCGCCCTCGAGTTCGATGCGAACGAACCTCCAGATCTCGACATTCAATCGCAACGACGAGACTGCGATTCAATACGGACAACGAACGCCGTTCACCTGAGTCGCAAGTCACTATATATTGTTAGCCCGTTAGCATATTTGCTCTGCAGCTATGTCTGCCTCCTTTATTGGCGCTCGCGGTGAGTCCTGACTGGCGCCAGCCATCGACGGCGCATTGACAATCACCCGCTAACTGGCAATCGATGAAGCGTTCAACCATGAACAGCATTCTGATGCAGAGGCGGAGTATGATAGACTACGGGGACTAGCCAGACATGAGGCCGAACTTCGTGGTTCTTGTTTCGATCGGGTACGAACACCTTCCTCCCGCGCATTGAGCTTCTTCATGAACCAGCCCACTAACCGTTCCTATAACCCATACAGTCCCGTCAAGCGTACGAGAATGGCGACGGCCAGCGGGCCAAAGAGTTGTCTGAGGAGGGCAAGGAGCATGGCCGGAAGATGGAACAGTACAACAAGCAGGCCTCAGAGTTCATCTTCAGGGAGAACAACGCCGAAGGTCGCGTTGCTGCGGACACCATAGATTTGCATGGCCAGTTCGTTGAAGAAGCAGAGGATATTCTGGAAGAGCGTATTAAATATGCCAGACAGCATGGACAGGACCATCTTCATGTGTATGTTGATGTGCAAGAACCCCACTCTCGTTGGACTGCGTTGAGACTGACATGAAATTACACATAGGATCGTCGGCAAAGGAAACCATTCCGTGAACCACGTTCAGAAGATTAAACCTCGCGTTGAACAAGTCTGCCGAGATCTTGGCCTTCAGTATGCCACTGAAGAGAATGCGGGACGGATATATGTCAATCTCACCGGCGGCCCTGCCAACATGCCTCCCCATTCGTCACATCCGAACCAGGGCCACAACCAGCCTCACCACGGTCAACCTCAGCACGGCCAGCCGCAACATGGTCAACCACACCACGGTCAACCACATGGCCAGCCTCATCACCAGCAAGGGCATCAGCAGGAAACCCCTGCTGAGAAAATTGCTCGGAAGGCTGTGCCAATCATTCTCAGGAAGCTGGAGAAGGCTTGCTGTATTGTTATGTAGGTGATTATGGGTGGATTTTGTTTCCTCGAGTTTTTTGATGTTGGATATATAATGGGTAGATATGTTGTTTTTATTCCCTTCGTGTTCTAGTTTTGATGGAATAGTGTTTTGTTTGACAAACACTATTAGATACTGGTAAAACGTCTACCAAATCGGTTGAGTGCGGGTTGGATCGCCTTTTTGTGCCTGTTTTTCCGTACTTTGCAAACCTTGAGCCGCGTATATAATGCCTTTAGATAGAACCATGATGAAATTTATTAAGCGATTGTAAATATCGGTCTCAAATTAGTTATTAGTTAAAGCAGATAGCCACCCCACCCACAGCTAGATAGTACCTAGCTACATAAATTCCACCGCCTAATAAGCAAAAAAAAAAAAAAAAAAAAAGAAGAAAAGAAAAAGAAAAATACATTATAGTTAACAATAAACATTAAAATAACATGAATCAAAACCACATAGATAGATCACTTAGTTTTCAGAAGATGTTCGTTTATCCCCACAGTCCATCAGGACGGGGTCAATGATTCGATTGAGAATAGCACGCACCAAATTGCCACTTCCAGCCTCTCCGTTTGCTTCGCTTTGGCTGGGTATCAGTGAAAAGGTACGTTCTAGCTCCTCGATCAGGAGAAAAGCTTTGTCACGTAGTTCGATTGCGACTTTGCGGGTATACTCGAAACTCCCGGTGCTCTCCATGTACTTGACAGCATACTTCTTGACCTCGTTGTCGTTGGTCTTTTGCTTGAGGATATTGATAAGTTGGCGATTTTCGGGTTGGGCTCGAATGCTGTGAATGACAGGGAAAGAAAACTTTCCTTCCGTCAAGTCTTCGCATAGGCCTTTGTTTTTACTGTAAGTTGGGTTGGAAAGGTTGAGATAGTCATCGCAGACCTGAAACATCAGCCCCATCAAGTCAACGAGAGGGACGCAATCTCTTCATGACGTTGTTAGCGATATAGAACGTGGATGGGTAAGAGGAGGTTCCTTGGGGGGGGGGGGGAGAGGAAGGGGATATAGTAGTGATAAACATACATAGGGACACTGCTCTCCGCTTGCATAAGCTTTATAGCCAGTCTGAATAGGCCGCCGGTCTTGTTGCCGACCATTTCTAGGTAGTCTTCTTCAGTGGGGCAGGTCAAGGTGTCTCTCCAGTAGAGATCCATGCCTTGACCACGGTGCAGGTTCATAAGCTCCTTGACGAAGATATTGATAGCTTCAGGGCTTTTCAGCTTCTGAATCTCGTCTAGGGCTTGAAAATACACATAGTTGGCAGAGTTGATAGTTTGTGGAATGCCAAAGATGTTGTGTGCGACTGGCGCTCCCCTGCGAAGATGGGAAGAGTCCTCAACATCATCAATACTGGGAGGAAATATGTTAGCAAAAAGTGTTGCCTCGTTCTGCTCCAGTTTCCCGACTGCTGACTATCGAGCAAGCAAGACTTACAGTAACGAAGCAGTGTGAAGCATCACGATGACCTTGGTAATTACCGCAAGGCTTTCCTCTGGGACCTGCAGCCATCGATTGTACGCTGCGATCAGCTGTCCCCGGATATCCTTACCGGGCTGGTTAACCGTATAACTGTACGGCCCCAGCACGATATTCTCTTTTCCTGCTGTCCACATGGCTTCAGAAGGCTTTCCTCGCCGAGTAGAGAACGGTTTTCCGCGCTGATATCCGATAGATCCAGGACAAGATCTTCTAGCAGACGAAGCAAACCACTCTTCCTCAGCCGTGGGCTTGGTGACACCTGTAGAACTTGTGCGCGGAGGTATAAGATTGGGAGCTACCCTGTCCGACATGATAACGTCGTGAAAAAGAGCATCAGAAGGAGAGTGTGGTATATATATATACACTGATCAGGCAACCCTGCAAGTCAAGATGGCTCTTCAGAGGAATGCATTAGCCCAGTGGAGCAGTCGGGCCGAAGCAGCGCGTTGGCGGCGACAGCGAGGCTGGCCTTTCGTCAGAATATCCCAGAAACGTACACGAGAGGAGGCCGCAAGGCTGTATGTAATTATTGATTATCTACGGAGTATATGGCTCATGGATGGTTATGTTGTAGTTACCTGACTCTTGCAGCCCGCGGGAAATGGCGTTGCTACCTAAAGTAGTTAGTGTGAACAAGCTCAAGTTATTCTTGCCGCCGCCTGCGGAAAAAAAAGGACGCCAATGAGCGGCCGAGAAAAGGCGCACGAAACTGTCCAATGGAAAGTCGTTATCTGCCAGCGAATAAACTCGAACTAACCTGATGAATAAGCATATATGAGCAAGTTAAAGATTTTTTTAGCGGTGGGGAAGGAATAAGGCATATTAATAATTATATTGTCAATATCCTATTGGTCAAACCTTATTCCTGACAGTCTGTCAAGGACATTTTTTTTACGTCGAGCTCTGTACTATAAGCTTGTATCACATAATGTGTCATCATCCAATCAGATCCAGATGGAGCCCCTGTGGGGCCCTCGCATGGCGCGATCGCGCTCGAGCTCAGCTCAGGCACGAACAAGCCTTCTTCGGGTCGCAACATCACAACCGCCACCGATGATTGCGAGGCGGGGGGGGCATGGCTGGCCGATGGCCTCGCTCACGCCCATGGAGAGCGCTTTAGTAACAGGCAGACTCAATACCAAATGCAAGATACCCCTTTGAGACCATCGGAGATGAGCCACCATTTGCTCCGACAGATCCTGAACCCTGAAACGCCAGGTCACAGAGATAACAGAGGTGGCATATAGAAAACTGCGGTTATTCCTAGCATTATATCATACGACTATTGCCGGAGGCCCTACCAACTAGGAGATAGGAATACCGGAAGGTGATATCAAAGGGTAATGTCGCCGGTGTGGGAAGAACGCATAACATCCTCAAAGATTACATTACCTGGTTCTACCCGAGAATACACTCAAAACTGCATTCCAAGCTTCCTCCAGGGCTGCGATAGTTTACTTGACACAAGCCTAGACAGGTTTTTACGATCTCTTTCCTTGAGTACTACTACCGCATGGCCATGCCGGAGACCGTGGGAGCAGTCCGAGGAACAGTTCCATGAATGAATTAATCGCGTAATCCACCGCGGATTAAAAGCCATGGGAATTTCAATGAAGTCGGGAAATACATGAATCAGGATGGTTTCGAGCGGATTATGACGGATATTATTGATGTGGACGCCTCGGAGTACTCCTCAGTGGATTTTACACTAGGCGGGCCCTTACTCCTCCAGAGTAATCAGAGACAGAGTGGGACTTTAAAGGCGGAAACGCGTGGCCTGGAATCCGTTAATCAGCAGTGGAATGATATGACAAGAAGACTCTAGCGCTAGCGGAAGGAAGCAACTCAAACAACTGGCACAACAGTTAACCAAGCGAGTCCACTGGGCTAACGGAATCAAGGAGAAACGCGACTACTGCACAAAGACCAAGGAGTTCTGCAGGAATTATGTGATTATTGCATGCCCCAGGGACAAAGCGAAAAGAGGACATGAAATAAAAGCTAGTGCAATTAACATCATTGTGTATGTTGGACAAAACAGCAGCGCAGCCAATGATAAGGCCAAGATCCTGCAGAAAGACACAAGCTTAAGGTGGCCAACCGTGTAGCTTGGTGGGGCCGGGTTTTCTAGGTATCAACCGGACGATTCTTTACCGATATACCCTTGATGGTGCTATATATGGTGACTTTATCAACCTAGAATTGGCATCCAACCTAAACTGCCGCATGGGTTGAAAGTTAATCCCCAAAGAAACAAACCTAGTTCGCTGATGACACATACATCTATATCCTTGGAGTTTACACTGCGACAATCCAGATAACAGACCACCAAATGGCACCATGCTGCCATTCAATATTTGGGGACAAACCTCGGTGTATCGCAAAAAGTTTGACCAGATCAAGTCGCAGATATAGGGCATTTCCTGTGGGCTTATAAATGAAGGGACAGGTATATACCAACTGCAAGACAAGTTACTCCGGAGCCAGGGGTAATTCTAGACAATCACTTTACCAGGATGTGTTTTCAAAAGGGCCGGCATTACCATAGCCGAATGCAAGCCTGGTCACTCACCCAATTCAGCAAATACCAGAGCGGAACCGGCATATATACCAATATACAACCTCTAGGGCAACGAGCTGGAGAGGTTGCAAGAATATTCCTATGGAACCCTTAACAATAGTGGATCAGCGAGTCAAGTCACAAAGGAGAAGGTTGATATTGTCTCTCGCGCGTGGCGTATTGCTATCAATCTTGACCTCATAGCACGAGATGAAGTTGACGTAACTAGCATTGCTGTATGCATGCTCCGTCAAGTGTAATCCGGAGACTATCGGCCGGAGCTCAGATGGTGGCGTACCTCTACGTATGGAATATCAGCCCTATGGATGACTCTCGAAAATAGATACCCACCACTACAAGTTGATGACGTGCATAACTAATCGGCTCAGCGGGTAATCGAAGGTTTCCCGAAGTTAGTCTTATACAAAATGCGATACCCCGATACTAGTTAACTAGTCCAGGCAGGGAACTAGTGGATGAGTGGAAGGCTACTTTCAGCACCGGGGATCCGCACTTTGACATACTGTCATGTAGTTCGGCCTTACTAACACCTCAGCCAAGGCAGTTGCACTCTCTCACAATAGCACTATGGGTTTCCTGGCTTCCAGACTCGGTAGTCGAAAGATGTATAATATGCCCTCCATACCTGCCAGTATTTCAGTGCCCATTAAGATCTCAACTTTTAGCACTTTGGGCTGTGGTAATTGCCAGAATACTCAGAGTGAAACACGCAACAATGGGGCTCGACTATTTGATGGTGTAAGTTTGGTTATCAAAATAGATATGCAAACGCAACTTGAATAACGATTTTATAGCCATGTAAAATACAATATTCCTCCCGCTCTGTTATTGACAATTCTCTATAAACCTTTCTTCACTCGCCTGGAGGTTTATAAAATTGTGTTTCTATGTACGGTAGGTTACTATTAAACATTTCCGAGGCAATGATTTACTCCACTGACTAACTGACGATGCCCATATAGATTGCTGTCGTTTGGACAACTCCATGGGACTCGTACTTGATTCGAACTCGAGTATGGTCGTATCCTGCGGATTCAGTTATCGGCCACACCATTTTTCGAATCCCCCTTGAGGAAGCTTTCTTTTTTATTATTCAAACTTACAACACCAGCCTTATATATATCCTTTTCAACAAGCGATTGATCCTTCTGCCCTACCTATCTGGGCCGATCAAGCCCTTGACCCAGGGATTATTCGGTACTGTAGCTCTTCGGACATGGAGGGACTTCGG